GTGTATTTATTTTGCTGTACACCGCCGTAGATTCGAGTCGTGTGTTGCGTGTAGTGTGTTCAGGGCTACTTAGAGGGGGTGAGTAATCGTACATTGTATCAGGTCAAAAAAGTGTACAATACGTCCTATGAGTTTGAATTGTGCTTCAATCGTGCTCACTGGTTCCAAGGCGTTTTCACGATTAGTGTACGATACAATCCGGATTGCCGGCGTTCAGACGGCCGAATACAAGTGGTTATACAAGCTGCTGCAGACGTCGATGTCCATCGGGAAATAGTACATGGATTCGCATTCGATGAGCCGCTTCACCGATTGTAGACACTTGCGGAGCCCTGGAGTGTAGTACGGATGGTCCTGTTCATCCACTGGCATGGATAGTACGGTTGGAGAGAGTGAGGCCAACGGGGTACTCGAGATTTGTGCAACCGATGTTCACATCAATCGTTATTCTTGATTCGGTTGTTTGGTTTGGTTTTGGTGAAAAATACATGCCTCCTGCATGCACGACGAGGCGCTGCGCGGGTGGTACGTGTCGGGGATGCATTCCGAGAGTCTATTGTGCAATGCGGATGGTCCGGCTCATCCACTTTCCTAACAATGACAAACATGCACCATTTGTTGAATGTTGCTGCGCAGAGCGTACGACTCAGACCCGCGCGTTCTTTCACAACACTAAAAAGTACGTCACCCGACTAAACTTGACGTAGGGATACGCGAGTGATTTTGAAGTTTCAAATGCAAAAATTTCGCTCACGTCCTGTCAGAAGGAACGAATCTCTCCTGCCCCACGTTATGGTGGGAAGACAGCTGCTGGCGTTGAACCCCGCCACGTCGGGGGCGCCGGAGAAGTCAAACCAGCGAGGACCCGGAGTGCCGTCGTTGAATATTCCAGGGGCCAAAATGTCATCCTTTGGAGGCAACGTTACCTGCATTTCATCAGTGCAGCAAATGTGCAGTGAAATTCCAGCCAAGACGGCAATTTCAGACACCAAATGATCGTGTCTTACTTTGCGATACGGAGTTCGTGGCTTTGCAGACCCTATCTATGGAGAAAGCTAGAGTCGAGATGGAACCAAAACAACCAAGTGGACCAAACCGTTGGGGGTCAACAGACGCCTCACGAGACCACGGATGTGAGCAATTTCTGGTGCTTGTCGTGAAATTGTGCCTCTTTGGAACTTATAGACTGTATCAATACCAATGCCATATCGCAGCAATGACTATTTGACTCCTACTGTAATACGAGGTAACAGGTAGCGGCCGAGGAACAACGGTTGCACGACTATGTTGTGGATGAGTTCCTTCAACTATTTGCAGCACCTGCTGAAACTGGACTTGGTGGTTAAACTGGACACATAAACAAAATGTCGAAAAACCGTCCTTCAAACGGTCTCACGATGCGTCGTACTCACCATCTTCGACTTGCAGCAAAACCCCAGAGTGAAGGTGTGATAGAGAGCGATGAAGCGGTTTCCCATGCGCGCAAATTCGAAGCTCGTGACTTCAATGACATTGCCGGGATCCGACGAGCTGTAACCTGAATCGTGTTGCGGGGAATGGGAGCGGTTAATGACATGCAATTACCTCGGTTTTACCGCGGGGTGGGGGCACCCGATATCACCATGGTCATTATCATCCGAACAAATCCAAGGCAAACACGCCGGGTGTCGTTGAAAATGCAAGGAGGTGGCGGTTGTGATGGTTTTGGCGGATGGACTTGCCTTGCCGTTTTATCGTTCCGCGCTAGTGGTGGGCGTTTGGGTACTCCAATTCTCCCTCCACGCCGTCCTCGAACGACGTGGTGTCTTATGTTTTCATCTCGACTAGACTGCTATCATGGCACATTCCAATCCGCAGGTTGAAACTGTATCCCAGGAAACAGCGTGTGGATGTTTCGCCCAAACCTCAGACGGGGTGATAGGTATGGAATACCTTCGTCTTATGTAGTATCGGAGACGCGCTTCAAAATGGTGCTGTCGACATCGTTCCGTACAACAGAATATATATCCGTCCTTGCTCGTGACCGAGGTCAACATGTGATGCCAATGAGCCTACTTTGCCTGATGTGCTAATGTTGGCTAGGTGACGGTGTTGGTTTCGAAGCCACTGCCGTGCTGCTGGCCTCATGTACCGACGGTCTCGTATGATGTACAACGCCTTAGATTGCTCAGCTTTAGCCAGGAACGTGCACGGATGGAGTCCGGCGACACAGGTCAAGGCTCAAAACTTTGGTTGGGAGCGCAGTTCAGGGGTTTGAAGGTCTCTTCCTGGCATTTCTCACCTCTTGCAAGGGCCTCTGTCGGGACAGCGTAGGGACACCCGGGGTTCAAGCTGTCATCCTCTCGCATGCGCTCTGTGTTGGACGGTGACGCTCGCCGCCCACGGCCCTTAGACATACCGCGGCGGACGGAAGAGGACACCCCAGAGGTAGGAAAAGGTTTGGTGGCATCCAATTCCATGACCTCGGTCTCCAGGGCCACTGCTTTGCTGTTACTTGTGTCGGTCGATACTGCCTCATGCCCTCGTACCCGTGGTAGTAGTAGTTTGTTCGGCATTGAACTCGCATCAAGATCAGTAGGAGCAGCAGTTGAAGCGCTGCCACAGTTGTTTCCACCAAACGATTCTACTACCGATGTATTGATTCCTGATGCTTCCCGTCCGAACATGGCCACTGCTATGGCGACGGCGCGTACCAGAGGCGGGACGGCCATTTTCTTACCGCTGAGGGTGGTATACCTTGCCCTTGTGCTGTGGAGAGCACGTTTGTGTAGACATAACCGACGCAGACTGCTTGATTGCCCCAAGCCTAGTGCTGCTGGGATGAGCAAGGCTGCGCCGTTGGTAGGCGTGAAGAGATGTTAAGATGGTAAAGTCGTTGATTAGGTTGCCCTTGTCGTAAGGGGAACAGGAGAGAGTGGCAACGGGAGGCGAACTCCCGTGCCGCACACCAGTAGCAAGAAAACGCAGAACTCGGAACACTATGCAACAGGTCAAAGATACAGAATTCTAGACATGTCATAAGATACCCCGAAGATCTATGCCCCTTGCTGCCACTTTAGCTCCATGGTAGAAACCATCACACATGAGTAACTACAGCAGTAGTGTATTCGTAATGATGAAATAATCAACCTCACGAACACAGACTACACTGTTTATTGAAACCGTCGAATATTGAAAACATCGATCTTGTCAGAGGGGTTTTCGTTCCTGTATTTTGGGCTACCAGATTTGCGAGAGGACCCTTTGGAGTGATCATTCTGTAAGACAACTCACGAGCAAGGAGAAGGCACACTGGGCAGCGTACAGTAGAACAGGATAGCTGCACAGCAGCAGGTCAACTAGAGAGAGGGATACTAACGATTGGTCAGGTTTGGAGGCCAAACAGTTGTGTGAAGCTAAGAACATCTTTGCTCACAAGGGAGATCATGACCAGATCAGAGAGTACGGGCTTATACAGGAGGAAGCTATTGTAGTGGCACGCAATCGGGGAATACAATAGAGCACATGGCGGATCTATGGCTTTGATGATGATGGAAATGTCTGGTCATGCCACGCTGCCCGGTTACGTACCACAATCCTTGTTCCGTGGCGGCCGTGAAGTCAGAGTGTTGAGGCATGGTCATGCTCCGCGAGCGTTTTGAGAGATTTCCGAAACGTTGGGATCTAAACAAAAGGATGTCGCTTTGCACCCCTTTCAGAGTGGAGCGTCTGCCGTTGTGGTTGGGAGGAGTAGTCCAGAGGACAGGGTGTAATTCAGATGCGCACAACCCTTGCGCAGTAAGTGGTGGGGAGGGTTCGCGACTTGTGCGTCGAGTATTATGTTGGCGACAAAGAAAAAGGAATGGTGAGACAGGGGGGGAAAGATGGTGTGGGGTATTGTAGTGGGATGAAGCTGCTCGTTCCTACTGCAGCGAGACTCTCGTGACGACCTCGGAATTTGGGTACAACAAAGTGAATGGTAGAGTAGTACCATTTGGGGAATTGGTCGTCTGAGGTGTTAGTAGGAAGAGTTCCCACACCAGTAGAAAGAGAATATTCCCGGCTGCTATTCTTAGGGGAGAGTGGGAGACAGTAGTACTGATGGACAGAGACACGGTAGGATGGGCGCAGAGAGCGTCTGCGGGAAACGTGTACTGTCAGCAGCGTGTTTTCTCCAATTCGAAAGAAAAACAATAAACATGAAGCTGTTTGTTCTCAAGCGCAGGGATGTCGGCACGAAGTGGTGCAGTTCCATGCCGTTGTTTTCAAGACCCCAGGGCGCTGGCAATGACATGATCATAACACTTCCTCCCGCCTCTCGCGAAAGGACTACCTGCCCGGCAGTACAAAAAGGGAGTACAAGCATAATGTCGGCGTGATCTCTCCAGCAATATGACGGTTTCGTGTTGCTGGGAACGGTACAGCAGTCTACATTCGGCCACGAGAATCGGCATGCGTGCGTCGCGTATCTCAAACACAAGTTGATTGGTGTCCGTCACTTGTTCGGTGGCGGCGTACTGGCGATTGATCATCGTCCTCTCACACGTATGAAGGAGGGCGTGTGTGAGTGAGTGTGGGTGTGTGAGGCTCGGAAGAACGATATAATAGAGAATCCAGTCGAAATGTCGAAGAAATGGAACGAAAAAATATAGAACCATGCTACGAAAGTGAACCCAACAATTTGCGGTACGATTGCTTACGTTTCGGGACGGCCGCGGCGGAAAAGTACCCCTCGTCCTACCTTGCTGTCTGCTGTCACGACGCCATGAAAGCAACACATCAAACGGGGTCTTGTACCATGTGTCTCGAACCGGTAGAGTAGGCGCTCACGAAGGGAGGAGACCTCTCTCGCTCTTTCTCTCCCGTCCGGTCTTGCGAGAAGCCTCCCTACGTTTCTTGGGCGCGTGCGCGTGGATGTGTGATATCTACGGTATAGTCTTACAGTAGACTGTAGCAATAGTACATTAGTCTACATAGTCTGCAGGAGTTCGGGGACAAGGTACAGTATCCTCGCCAAACACATGTTCCCACCACCGTGGAAAGACGAGGCAAGAAAGAGCCGGCGCTCCGGACATGTCGATTGTCAGTTGGACTTTCAGCATTGTGCACCGTCGTCGTCGTCACCGGTATTGTTCTCGGAGCAGCGGGACAACCGGCAGCAGGAGAACCGGGCGATTGTCTATGACGGTCATGATGCCAGTCCTCCTGGAGATCGAATAAGGTGAGTTTTCGTCATCTCAGCGGTACTTGTGGCCAGCAGCGGGCGGAAGGGCCTCCAAGCTTACAGCTTGCCTACAGGCTTCACACATGGACGGTAAGGCCAGTGCCAACCATGAATGTCTCCTCTGCTTGGTGTGACCACTGACGGGTGGTTATGTGCCATAGGACATTGTCCATGATAGGACCGCGCAGAGAACGGTCGATCTGCGTAGGTTTGGCTAGGAATTGTCGGTGAACGAGATGTTGCTATTTGTCAAGAGGTTGGAAAGGTCCACCTACCTCGATGAAATTTGGCTTGATTGTTTGTGGTGCGGGGTGCGGGGAGAACTTGCCTGTTTATCCGACTTTCGACAGGAGCCAAGTCTTTCCGAGCGAAGGTTCCAATCGTAGAAAATTTTTCCGCGGAACGGCCTGAAACATTTCTTCACTAGAATCTGAAAACAGAACATAGTGAAGGTCTAGTTTACGTGGGAGCGCCCTGAACCGTGCGTGCTCTCGAAACCATTGACAAGGGCGTTCTGTCCCACCAAGCAGAGGTGCTGAACCAGCCCTACTGAAGAACACAAACTAGCCACCAAAAATTCTTCAAGCGAAATTCGCCAGTCCTAGAGGCACGGAGAGGAGCTTCACGGACTGGACCAAACCCTGCGTGTGTGTACGGCAAGAAAATTTCTGCAGATTGAAACGCCCACTGGGTCTCTGAGCACTGCAACAGAGCAGAAAGAAGAGTGTGAGAAGAGAGAGAGAGAGAGAGAGAGAGAGAGAGAGAGAGAGAGAGAGAGAGTGAAAGATAGAGCGAAAGAGAGAGAGAGAAAGAGACACACAGACAGACAGACAGACAGACAGACAGACAGGAAGATAGCACCAATATAACAGGGTAGATGAATAGACAGGCAGGCTAATGAGGACCACAAATATGTGCCCTTCCTGGCGGCAATAATTTCCATGCGTACCGAGAGTGACAGGTTGATGATGTTCATGAAACCCCTTCCTCGGATGTGTATGAGGAGTCGTCGCGACGGGATATGCAAATAGTACCCGTGCTCTCAATCAGGTTTTGCACAATCAACACCGACAACCGTGTCCCGCGCTTGAGATGGTACCCCAACTATGTATGAACTGGTGTGCGCGTGCACAAATTCGAACGCCTTAAGATTCGTAACATCTATTTCTTCGAGCTACGAGGGACGATATAGGCGCGAGCCCCGTACAAATAGCTGTCACAAGAGTCCAGAATAATATGAGACTCCAGGACTGGTCCTAGGAACATTGCTTTCTTTTTGGAAGTCTTATTTCGACGTACACCGTGCACGTTAGCCTCCAGTCCGACACTGTGGAGAAGCTCTTGGGACGTATCGTATCCACAACTTGGTGGCTGCTGTGGAATTTTGGCGGGTGGTGAAGAGCCTTCCATCTGCGTGACAGAAACATCCACTATTCAGAAGACTGTAGCGCGAGGGTCAACCACGGCAACAGAGCATCACAACTACTATCACAGCCTGCTTGTTGAATGCCCGTTTCCAGCGCTCTTTATACCGCACACTCGGGGAAACAAGACCTGGTGAATGTTCGAGAAAAAACGTTGCCAAAATAGTACAGAATGGCGGGCATTCCATGCTTCTAGACAATACTCAGGGCAGAAGCTTACTGAAACGTCACCACAGGGAAAGCAGCAGGCAGAAAATGTACAAGGCTGGTTTCCGGCTCAAAACATGGGGTTGGACCTTTACCCGAAACTCAAGTTTTTTGTGTCAGAGCCATGACTGTAGCGAAGAAGACCGAACTCAACCACTAACATCTGCAATCCAACCCAACCAGGACTCAAAGTGCTGTGCGCGAGAATGCCACCAGGCACGTCCCATCACATATTACATATTACGTCCCCGAAAGTGAAACAAATACAGTATCCAAAACGAACACAAACAACACCCAAAACCCAATAAATATAGATAAATCATCATGGCCAACCAAGAAATCTCATGATGAACATGACTTCAACGAAGTGTTTCATCAACGCCCCAAACCCATATAGATTATTAATCATTTTCAACCAAGAAAATACCTAGATGTTGGCGGAGGATATTGAAGAAAAAGTTGTGTGAACAGACAGATTTATCTCGACGCCCATCACGTCACAGCTGTCCAGAATGAGCTGTCCATATTGTTGCTACATCCCTCGACCGCTGCATGTTTCACTGCGTGACCTTTCCCATTGTGCAGCCAAAGATCAAACACACGAAAAAGGCTGGCTGTAACCCAAGTCTTAGGGCTTATCATGAGCTTCTTTTGTCGACGCTATCCTCCCGTACTCAAACGTCAAATCGAGCGCAGGTTTGAGTTCAGCGCTGCCCCAGACGATGACGTCTCGGCGACGGCGGCCAGAGGGCAAGAACGACGAAAATGCCGGTACACCATCCATACTACCGGTCGACAACCACGGGGGAAAAGTATCAATAACGACAGCCGGAACGCCACCAATAAACGAAAACGGCTGCTATCCAAACGGACGGGCATACAAAAGGGACCGGTCAAGGACGATGCCACCTCCTACCCAGGTGGTCATGAGATGTCCACGGCCTCAGCTGAGAGCGGGTGGTCTTCCCTTGGTGGCCGTTTGGGAAGAAGCTGCGAGGTGATTGCCGTGTGGAAGTTGGAGGGAGGAACGTGTTCCTCGCTGGAACCGCACACGCTGCTGAGCGCAATGGCGAATTCAAGTGTTATGTCTCATCCGTGGGGGGTTGGCTTGTGTTATCTGCGGAAGTAATGGTGCTGGTGCTTCAATGCAATTTTCGACCAGGTGTGCTCGGGTAAACAATCGTTTTTCTGTTCTCAATCCTGCAGCAGTCAAAGGGAAGCAACAGCGCGGGAAAAGTTCTCCCGATCTTGGTGACAGCTCCACCAACAAGATACATACGTCAGAGGGTCTATGAAGGAGCCCGTTATTTGAAGAGGCACTTCCCAGGACAATTCTTCCCTCATTTTCACGAACATTCCTATATAATAGTGCAAAACCCGCTTCGTTCCTTTCCGCGTTGGGTTTCTGTTGTGCCGTAAACACAGGTGCAGGGAGCCTTGCCCGGCGAAGGGGATAGCTGGCGGAACAAACTATTGCTGCAGGCGTTGAGGGAGACCGGGGAGGAGATGAAACGCCGCCGCCAGACGCACAGAGAGGTTCGCGCCAGGCACACGGCAGAAGAGCGGGAGGCGGCATCATTCGCCCCTTCCAGTACCAGCAGTGCTTTGATCGCGGCTTCGACCCCCGGACTATCCAGGTACGGCACTTCAATTTACGAGTTGACTGTTTCACCGCTAGAGTATTGCACTGGTGCCACCGGGGAGGACAGAGTCATTCTGGAACGCGCAGTGGTGACATATAGCCGTCAAGGGTTACCCTCCATGCCCACCGCACACGAACCTCCGCGAACACAGAAGATATCCCGAGCATGGGTTTCTTGTGAAAGCCAAATTCTACAGGACACCCATCCCGGTGGGATGCCTGCTTATGCCATCTCTCACTCTCGCTATTTGGCTTCACGTTCTGAGTCACAAGAGACGGGTCCACGTTCTCCAACCTCGGCAGGAGAACGAGAGCATACCTTTCCAAGACTGGGAGGACTCTTCCAACTACAAGCAAAACCTCCAGCAGCAACAAAAAAAGTGGTAACAAGCGAGTGGGAGGGAATACGGCGAGAGGTGGTTTCGCCGGGTCTCGCGCCTGGAAAGATAGTAAAGCAGTGGCGAGGGAAGCTGATGGCGGCGGTACGACCGCGACCGTTTCGACGACCACCAGCGTCCAGGTGACTGTGGTGAACGGTCTACCTGGTCGAGAGGATAGCGATAGCAGCGATGGTGTTCGCAGATGTGGCCAGGGCGATGACTGCGGCGATGGTGGTAGAAATGAGGGCGCTGGCAACAAGACAGCCGATACGTATCGAGAAGGCAGTCGGCGAAGTTCGGCCGCGAGGGGCTCAGAGGGAATCATGCTGCCGGCACTCAAGCAAGGGCAACGCTTGGTGGTCAACTCGGCTCCGACAACTGATGGTGGACAAGGGACGGCAGGACACAGCGGAATCGATGCCCTCCACGGCTCCGAGACTCCACTGCGGGCAAAAGAGCTATCAGTGAGTACGGACCGGGCCACTCTGTCGGGCGAGTCATATTTTCCGGCAATGCTCGCTAGGTCAATTAAGTGTTTACAGCAGCATACATACTAATGATTGACATTGAGTGTTTCCACATACTCGTCAAGTGCGGGCATGCGACGTTGAGAAACGAGATTCGTGCTTTCCACTACGCATAGCTTAACAGGTTTTAAGATCGTGCGCGGGAGACCTTTGCGACGCTTCTCCTCCACAGACTCCTGATCACTGCCATTATTGGACGCACACCACCGTTGGGTGACCATTCCCGGTCGCAGGCCATCGGTAAAGAGCGCAACAGCGGTATCAACATTGACGGCGGGGGTACAGGTTGTTTCAGCGGTGGCGATTCAAGTTCAGGCAAGAGTATCCACGGTCGGAGGCAAAACGCCGCCCATGGGAGACGGCAGACATTATCAGCCGCACCCAAAGAAGCCGACGACGAAGCAGAAGCTGCAGAAGCTGGAGGGGCAGGTACGGGTACTCCGACGCCTGGGCCGAACACGGCGACGGCGGTAGATGGAAGAACCCAACAAGACCCCCCGCCAGCACCTTTTCGAGGAACGTTCTGGGACGAAGAAGACGCAGAAAACAATCCTCCCGCCCACTGTCCGAGGTGCGCCGTAGTGCTCGTCGTGGGAAAGGAAAAATTAGCTGTATCAACATTGTTAACCATCCTCCCGGCTGATTCCTTGGCGTCATTTAGCCGCTCGCACGCGCAAGGAGCCGCTGGGAACCTAGACTCGGGTAAGGATTGCGCGTTTCTATGCATTAAGACGAGGCTAGTGTTCAAGCTACCCACGAGCAAAAGGTCAGAGACGCGTAAGCAACGATAGTTCTTGAGCCACATGGACGCACAGTCGTTTTCAGCTGTTTCCGGTTCCACGCCCCCAACACCCTGCAAGGCACGGGTTAGTAAGCCGTGATGTCGTCCCCAGCTGACAAAGAGCGGTACGTTGCGCCGCCGCCGCAGGGGCGAATCAAGCGACCATCCGGCAGCAGGTGGCGGCACTACCAATGAACATGTAAACGCCGTGACGAGCGAACGAGATGGCGAAACACCCAGGAGGGGTGCGCACGGTAGCGATGACAAGAACCGCAGAAAACGCCCGTCTGCTCACCACCAAGGAACGGGTGTCCCAACGTCTCCCTCTGCCTTCGACGGACGGGGTGGGGGGAATGGTGGTGGTGATACTGTCGGGGGAAGACGAAATGTTTCTCCTGGGAGTCCTCAATCTGAGAGAGACGGTGATCATTTGCCACCATTGGCACTCGTCGGTGGTCCTGATCACGGTAAGGCGCGTAGAACAGTCGGAAGGGGGCACTCCGCCCCGGGGTCGACAGTTGTCTATGGTTGCATTCTGTGCAAAGAGGCTACCCTGGGTCCTCGTCGCTACAGCAACTGTCCTCCTGGACTCATTCCCGCGTTTCACGTTTCTTCTCGGTCACTTACGAGCGGGCGGAGGCGTAATAACTCTCCTGAATGACGGTGCTCTTCGGTGTCACTGCTTCTCGCCGCACTGACAACGCTGCCCTCTTTCAACGTATATTGCTCTTAATCTTCCCTCTCTTGGCCGCGCACTTGTCGTTTTTCTCTGTAAAATGGGACACCAGGGAGCAGCGGGGAACCACCGCTCGGGCTCCCTGACGGAGGCTTGGGGCGACGGGCGCTAGTGGCACACACAAAGAACGAGGGCAACCGTCGCCAGTTTTTTCAGCTCTACCGGCGAATGGCGCGGCAGGTGAACCTCTCCCGCGTGCTTATGGTTTTCCGGCGAATTGTGTTTTCAGCAGCTCTTGGATGAGAGTTAGTCTTGTCGAACAGTCGTACGTAAGGAACTCGGTTGCAGTGCTCAAGATCTGGATTCTAGTGCCACAGACACGCGGTTTCTGGGCGCCTACGCCGGAACCACTAGCCTGACAAAACAGTCATCTACGAACAGAGCCAACTTTCATATCCACACAATGCAACACTAAGGGTAGGATGCTGCGGACCCCGCCAGGTGGAAATCGTGGGGGACACCGGCGCGCTCAGCCAGGAAGGACACACACCCCGGCAGGAGTTCATTCGTAAGATGCTCAAGATGGGGCGCGTGCCAGTACCCATCCTCCTCCGCGACCCTTCGGCGCTCCAGGACTTGAATCTCGCCCACAGGGGGCTGGGGGATGACGTCATGTCGGCGGCGGCCGAGGTAGACGAAATCCTCCGTTGACGATGGATGCGCACGCACGCAGTAGGCTCTTCGTTAGACCAAATCCCTTATATGTGAAATCAAGCAAGTGTTGATGGCCTAGAACTACCCACTTCCACGCAGTGACATCACTGTTTTGGCTTTGATTGTGTCCGTGATATGGTTGCCCGCCTGGCTGCCTGATGTTGCTGCTTCCGTTGCTCCTACTCCCGATCGTACAGGTGTTGACCCGGCTACCGCACATCAACACCCTTAACGTGGCGGACAACCGACTCACGGACCGGTGTGTTCTGAACCTCCTGAAAAGCCTTACCCTGTTGGGATATTGCAACGCATATTGTGAAGGGTTAGAATTGTCTGTGCCAGGTTCTGAGTGAATCACAGGTGATAGTATAGTTACCACGTTTTTGGGGCTTCATAATCCTGAGTCGCAGCGAACGATTCCCCTTTGAGGGCGAGGTGATGCCCTTGATAGTGAGGGATTCCGGGCGACAGGACTCCACCTTCCCTTGGGGTGACGAGATTAAGCTACCGCGTGCCACGATGAACGTGGTGCCAAGCAGCAGAGAGAAGCTACAGTCAACGTTCAGGTTCCGTGTCGCACAGCCATTGTCTACCGGACACATTTAATATCGTTTTACAACGTTCCCACCGACGTATTTCGACCGTCATCACTGGTAAATTCAGCATACCGGACATTCTGGCACTCCGCGCGATCCAGGGTTACACTGAAGAGGATCTGAGCGGTGTAGGTCTTTAGTGCTATCGTTCCTGCTATAGAATCTCCTAGAAACCTCAACGGTTCCTCCTTCACAAACATCGCGCCCCGTATTCAACAGGTCTTTGTGCAAGCTGTGCGCTCTGGTAGTTGGGATGCCCGGGCTGAAGAGCTTGGACCTATCTAGCAACAAGGTGAACGCGGGGCTGGAACGTTTGCCTGACCAATACCAGACTTAGATCTCACTGCCCGTGGTTGACGAAGCGACAGTCCGGTTTCTCCCCACGCCCCCTTCACAGCGAAACGGCGAACGAAAACGCGGGACATATCTTCCTGCGGCCAAATTTTATTGCTTCCGGTCTCTATCCTCTCCGGTACGGTGCCGCTCGTCCCGGCTAGTTGACTTGGAGCTTTTCTCATGGAGTCCCTCCGGACGCCCCCTTCACACCCGCGCATCGTTGCCTCGCTAATCGTGTCCCATTCTAGGTGGACGAGGCGGCAGCAATCATCCGCGGCTACCTGGCCCACCCTAGCTGCTCCCTGCAGACGCTGAGCCTCAGGTCTGCCGACGTCGACGATAACGAGTGCTGCGACCTCATGGAGGCAATAAGCCACAACCAGTCGCTGACAAGGCTCGATATTTCCGGTGAGGCGTCCGGATGACGAGTGCGCGTCTAGCTTCGCGAACACAGAACCTGTTGGTTTCGAAGGGGGGCGGAGATGTCTGACACAAGCAAGGAGGGTGAGCGGGAGTAAAATAAACAAGCACAGGGCAGAGTCGTACGTAAGGTATTGTAAGGAAGGTGCGTGATGGCAGGGGACGAGGCCTGAGATATTGGCAAACGCAGTGGGTCATACGCCCACGCGTGGGATTTGTACGAGTATGTAGGACGGGCAGCCAAACATTAGCGAGTGGTGAAGAAGTCAGTCGTGTGGCAAGCCAAGAAGGTAAGGTAAGAGAAGGTCCCCCAGGTACGCACTTCCCTGGTGATCGTGCTTGTTCTCTGATTTTCAGACCGTCCATGAATGCGAAGCAGTAGCACACAAGCACTCTTCCTTGGATGACGATATGTTACCGCATGGCATCAACCTGCTGACCCCACCACAATGCCCTCTCACTCATGTCCGTCGCCTCGCACATGTCCGCGTTCTCTTGGTTTCCCCATGGATGCGCGATCTATGTGTGTGGTGCGCTGGGGCCGCAGAGAATAAAATCGGACAGAACGAGATGCTGAACGCGGTTCAGCCGGATGTCGTCACTGGGGGAGAGGTGCGAAGCAAGGGTACTCCACGTTACGTTTCAGCTGTTCACTTGTCGCGTGATTGTACGTGGGGTGCGTGGGGATCTGTCATGCCATCTCTCGGGCCTTGTTTTCTGTCCTCGTGACAAAAGCAGCGGGTGTGAAGCGCATCATTCCTTGCCACAAAATTGCGTGCTAAATAGTTTTCTCACGGAATGACGCTTGTTTGTTGCAGCCGGATGGTTCAGATCGTGCGCACGTCAACCAAGTAGCAAAACCAGATGCGGCGGTGCCCAATGTTCTTTACTTTCGACGATGTCTCAGAACTCTGAGATGTTTGAGCTAGACCCCAAACCAAGGAATGACCCTCCCGCGCTTGGTGGTATACCACGGGGATCGATCTGGCGAACCCATGTAACAACGTTCTGCTGAAAAACACCCCACGAACGGTTAGATTCGTACTGGTTAAGTGGCATGCACATATTTTAACTTCGTTTGGGCTGCTATGATCCCGAACCTGTGCAAAGCGCGTAGCGTCCGTCATCACACGTAATTTTCTTACGTAGGACAACCGTCGGGTCAACACGCCTTGGAAGCCAGGACATGACGCATCCCACCGCGGAAAAGAATGCCAGCTGACGCTGGTGGACAGCATGTAGCTGTTACCTCGGCTTCATACAACAACGACAAAAACCGCCTTCTGAACACTGGTGAAGATATCTAAAGTGCGCGCCTTCGAAATTTGGGAGAGCGCCTTATCTTGAAGTACCCCACCAATATTCTCGACGTACATATTACACGCCTCTCTCCTTCCAATCACGACCAGGGTGTTGCTGAGACGCTAGCAGGCAACGTGGCTTTGAAAGAGCTCAACCTCTCCTGGAACAACCTCCGGCAGGAGAGCGCGGCAGCAATCGGTAGAGCTCTTAGTCTCAACCGTGGCCTGGTGTCGCTCAACTTGGCGCACAACGCCTTCAACAACCTGCCCAGCCAGGAAGTTGGCGACTCGCTTCGGACGAACGGGACGCTGCAGGTAGGGAGGAAGTTGCACCCCGTCAGGTAGACGTAGACCGCTTGTGGTGATCGTGTTGCCTGAATGTGCAAGCTGTAACCCCAACCAAGGGTAGGACGTTCCTCCGCACCGGCTTCGGTGGTGGTATAGTCTTTCTTAACGATGTAGGACGAAGCACAGGACAGTCATCATGGTGAGCTCGCTCCCGCCCACCGTTGCTTCTTGGGTAGACATGTGGCAACCAAAGACTCCTGCAAAGCTGACGAGTCATGTTGAAAAGTTGAGCCATAGGATGCTCCCACCAGCCATAGAATTCTGGTGATGGTTCGGCGAACGATGGCGCTCCATGAGACCCACTCCAACTAGCTCCTTTGTTCTCGTCATCACCCTGACGTGCCTTCCGATTTTCGCAATGCTCGTTTGCCTGTTCGTATCGCCCTCAACCTTGCACCTCTCACTGTACTGGGCGTCGGACGCGAGCAGTCCCTTGATCTGTCCTATAACGGTCTCACGCCCGCCGCGGCCATCGTCATCGCTAGCGCGTGCAAGGCCAACACCTCCCTTACCAGGTAAGAATGTGATGCATGCGTACGGGCTATGGCATGTAGCACGGGAAAATGGCGGCACGATTTTCTCTGTGTACGCCTGCCGGCCGAAAACTGTGTGACGAAACATATATAGTCTTGACGGCAGTCTACCGTCACGGACCTAACGTATTGAGTACCGAGGGCGGGGCTACTACGGTGTTTCTCCACCTCCTTCTCAATTGGCAGGAAACATTTTGGCATACGACAACCCTGTTACACGATCGAGGTGAACATCTTTCGCCTAGCCGCCCGATGACGTTTTTCCTCTGTCCACTACGCGTAAGGTTGCCAGTTCGCCCACGAGTTGGCCGAGATGTGAAGGGCTCGTGAAAGTTCAAATCGTCTTGTTCCTGAAAAGCTTCTGGAGACGACTGACGGTTCGAGTGAGGACCACGCCCAACCCTCGTTTGTCTGCTTTTTGTCTTCCTTTGACCCGTATCGTCTCCCAGCTTGACCCTGAGCGGCAATCGACTTGGCCGGCAGGGCTCGGCGGCTCTTCTCAGCGCCATCCGAAGGAGGACATCAGCGAGTCAGAGTCGCAAGGTCAGGCGGATAGCAGTCCTCCAATCTAACTAAACGCTTGCTTTTCCGAGCACTGCTCCCCATGATGGCTCAACACGTCTTGTGCGATGACTCCCGGTAAACGTTGTGACACCATCTATCGGCACGTCCTCGACGAGGGGCTTACACCTTACCCGCAAGTGCACCTCTTTGTCTGCTTCCCATTAGTCTGCGCTATCCAGATACATAACTCAAATTCTGTGATGCGCATGTCGGTTTGCCATGTCCAGCGATGCCGCCTGCGCCCATTTGACCTGTATCCAGCAATTGACAACACCTACCACGGCAACTCAGTGAGACGGTCTAGCCTTCCAATTTCCAACCCATTCACCACCCATGCGGCAACTTTGCCCAAGAGACCGATGGTCTCCCTAGGCAACAAATGAAATAATAATTTTCATTCATCCGTGGTCTTGGACACTGCTCACCTCGGAACCCTAGGTGGACCCCCTCATCCTTGGGCTGGAGGGCTGCGACTGCGAATCGGACTCGCTTAACCTTTTCGATGTGGAAGAGCCGTCGGGGGAGTACAAGCTAGACATGTCGCTGCCTTACTCAAGAATGCTGGCCTCGGAGCTGCTGTCGCTGTCCGAGTCCAAGAAGGGATACGAGGTGACGAATCGATACACCGTCGGAGATTATTGTGGTAGATGGCGTTCTCTTGAACGCCTGCAGAAACCTGCCAGTCTATGCCGAACAAAAGAAGATGTGGACGGGAGGCGAGGCTCAAAAATACAGTTTGGTTGTGGTGATGCTTGGTTCCCTCGTGTAGGAAGCCGCCTTTTTGAGCGCTCTCTGCCTTTCTGACATGGCTGCTATAGAATACCTATAGGGCATCTGGTAGTCCCCTCGCCATGATCGGTTGTTCTGGAGCGAAGACAACACCCTCCGCAGCACGCTCGTCTCGATAGGAGCGCGGGAGTCCCCATGCAACCGCCCTAGGTAGGCAGCCCAAACCATGAACGCCTCACACCCACCTGCGCAAGGTAGGACCGTAGTTCGTGTGTCTCGCTACCGCTGCGTCGCGTGTTGCAGTGCATGTTCTTCACTGCGCAGCGGCGCGTCTCTAACGCTTCTTTCGGTTTGGGGCTACAGATTGAGAGCATTTGGTTCGCCAAGGACATGGAGTCCTTGGACAGGCCGGAGAGGCGGGAGCTGGTCAAGACCGAACGCGAAGCGTCCCCCTGTGTGAGCCGACTGAAACTGGCAAAGCCGTTTGCGAAGGCGATCGCAGAGGTAAGCTACTTGCTGTTTGTGGCGTACATTGGTTTCGACATAAGACAATCGCGGTTAGTTCAGTCACAGCTGTTAGATACTTTGTAGGCGTGCTGGTAGCAACCATATAAATGTTCATTCGAAAAATATCACGTTGAGAAGGGCACTGCCCAGAGAGCAGCTATCCTCGATCATGACTCTCAGAGGTTAACCTCAGCTTTAACATAAAAGAAGGGGAAATAATGGTGCCACCCTTTACAAAAATGGGTTTGTGTCATTCTGGCCGTGAATAAAAAAGATTGTGCCATCTGTGCGGGTGGGTGCCTCTTTTGCCCTTGGCGTGGAGGTCATTGTGCCGTGCGCCACGTTCCTTTTGGTCTCCGTTTCGATGGTGATGGCCTCCACCTACGGCGGTCGATCGAGCAATCCTCTCATTCCGCCCGAAACGTATTTAGCGTCATGCCCAAAGGCCGATCGATCCTGACTTCACCATGGAGTGCGGCCGTGTTTAGTCATTGCGGTAGGATTTCAATCGGTGCCTACCAACACCCCACCTCTTTGCTCCAGGTCTGCTGAACTTTTGCGTTGTCATATGCTGAACACCGCCCCGCAATGGTGTGAGTAGAACGACACGAACTTGCCACACGTGTTGTGGTAACTAAATGCAACCCATCAACTCATCACACTCTTTTTTTGCCTCGATTGCAAAGATTGGTCAGAAGGCGAGCATTGCATCGCTGGACCTTTCTAAGCGCTCAGGATCGGTCGTGCCCCAATCGATGGCGGGGATGGGCGGGGGCGGAAGCAACGGCGGCGGAGTCGTCCTCAATGGATACGAGAGATCTAGGGCCAAGGAGCAGGTGCGGACGCCACTTGCAGTGCTTCTTCGGGACCGCGTTATTTCTCCCTACCGCTTCCCTTTGTGTCCTGTTGTTCGGTTTTCTTACGTGGTTTGGAAAGGATCAGGCACTCTACTCAGTCCACGAACCTCGCTTGTTGTGAAGTGGAAATACGTGTACCGATCACAAGATTCGAAAACAGTCCGCGGTGGATTCACTCAACGAACCCATCGAAACCCACATCATAGAACGCAAGATATCCAAAGAACCCTACCACAGTACGAGTCTACTCGGTCTTTAGGTGATGGGTCTCCTAGATGCCGTGAACCTTCAACCCTCTCGAACGGCAATGGAAAGCGCTTTGGACGAGATGGACTGGGCAGAGATAAAGGCCGACAGTGATGCTTTCTTCGCCGTATTCAGGGCCGCGTTTCGGTAAGGACAGTAATGTGTTTCTCATGTGAATATTTTTTTTTGTCAAGCCGAAGTAGGCTTGTATTATCGCCCCGGTGGTCCAGTAAGCAACTTCAAAAGTACGTTTTCGTATACCGGTGAGATGTGTTTGTCACGCGTTTCGTACCTCGTGGTGAAGGCGCTCTTCCATGAGTGAGCTGGAAGGAAGGGGATGACGGTCGAACCCTTCTCGTGATCAACGCTTAGAAGCGAGCATCAAAGATAGGAATTCTTCGTTCAGCGTAGTTTCGAACTGCGAGAGAGGATGAAAACAGCGAAACAAGAATTTCCAACACTAGTCTCAAATTCGGCTTGTCGGATAATCTAAAACATTGTGCACATCGGGAATGGAATGCTCAGGGCAAGCCTGGCCGGCAGAGAAGTATGGCCAACTTCGTGTTTCTCGGGGCCACCTGCCGGTGGCTTACTTTATGAAATCAATTAATTTTCGCTCTACTCGAACCCGGACTTTGAACGATGAGATGGAGCTGCCAGCGTAAGGGTGTGTGTATGAGGGATTTAATGGCAGTGGCGTACAAGCTCTCCATCAACACATGGAGCCCGTAATCAAGCAACGATGCATTTTTTCTGCTTTCCACTCGTTGGAGATAACCATCGAAGATCCTGTGGGGATACTGTTGGTTCCTATCGAATGGTGTGGTTGCCACAAAACACGGAAGTTCCCTCGAAGCAGACGCCGAGGCATGAATCTATGTGCGCGCGCAACATTAACAACATGTGTACGTTCCACAACCTAAACGTGAACTTGTTCACTTCCTTGCGCTGTTGCCCTAGGGTGTTTGACAAGGACAGGAGCGGGTCGCTTGAGGTGTGCGAACTTCTCGAGCTCTTCAAGGTGTGAAGTAAATATCGAAACATTCCAACCACGCTGGCTGTCGGTGTGCAAAACGTTGGTGTTCCCGATTTCACATGAGTAGTCTAACCATCCCAATGTTTTCTCAATACCTTCTACCATACCCGTGCTAGTCCAACTCACGAAGGTGCCTTCCGTGGTCAGAGGCCAAACAACCCCCAAAAAAAGAGCGTATATGGAATAATCAAAGTAAGGAAGGGACCAACAAAGAACACAACGAAGTCGAGAGTTGTGAAAATCAGAGGAAATGCCTCCTGACATTCAGACTCCGCCGGAGGTGACCCTTCCGAGAGAGGACGTTTCGTTCTGCAGACCGGTACGATTTTACGCCTGCTGTGCCTAGGTGAAACGCAGCAACCGCCAACACCTCGAGCCCGTGTGTCTGGATTACTAACGAACTATTTTTGTTCACCAGGGGCTGGGCTGCAAGATGGATGAGGAAAGGTGCCGGACGCTAACCTTGGTGTACGATCTCGACAGGAGCGGTTTCCTCGAGATCGAGGAGTTCGTGACGTGGATGATGCTCGAGCATGTCAAGGTCCGTAGGTCGAGTGACGAAAGCAAGAAGAACGTCAGAATCATCATCATGCACAGCAGCAAGTAGCGTCATCGACAACGATCGATCGAGCACAAACGAAAACATCATAGCCATGACAACGACAGCAACAACATCAACGATTAAATCGCGACAGCATCAACATCAACAATGGCATTAGCGGCAAAAACGTATGCACCCTTCGACGCCTTTGACAGATCACGTTCTAACCTAAAGACCAGCACCAAAGATAATCACCAGACTGGCAACGTAAGGAGCGTTTCATACACGCCGGAGTTTTCAAACGTTTTGGCTTGAAAAACTTCGGGGGTCATTGAACAATTTGGAAATGTTCCGAACAGTATTGAACGTTCCAATGTGATTGCCTTCGAACTGGCTTCGCAAATTTCCCTACCTTGGTAAAAAGTGCTATATCCCAAATGCCCCCAACGCGATCGCCCGGCCAAGAACAAAAATGCCAGGAAAAGAACTGAGGAACAGCCCCTTCCTCCCACCAATAATGATGAACGCGAACAAGTACCACATCCTGCCTCAACCACCAATCGCTTAACCCGAAGTCGTATCGTATGTCACCCCCCGACCCCCCTCACCTCCGGCATCTATTCCCCTCCCCGAAACCCCCAAGCCGATATTACCTCTACGAAACCCGTTCCCAAAATGTTCTTGAAATATAGGACCCCGCGCGTCAGAAAGGCAGGCTCATGGAACCCCCCAAAGCAAAACCATGGCCGGTTCCTCGAGAAGGGGCTTATGCTATTTTTTTCAGGGCCTCAAGGTACCCTGGGGACGTGATCAACGTCGAATCTGCCGAAGGGCTGGCGGCCATGGTGGATAACATCCGACATGTGAGTAGGAAGGGTGGAGCAACACCTCCGTGTTACTCAGCGAAACCCTATATTACGATGTTCGCGATATGTGTTTTGCTGCCGTTTCGGCTAGGAAACGGGTGAAGTTGGACTGAAAGGAGTGCATGGCGGGGGCTCGCCCTTGAACGACAGGTGACCAAAACATGCTACAAGTAGGGTATAGGGAAACAAGTCATCGTGAAGATATCTAGCCCGCACTAGGTTTGAGTTTTGGCGGTGAGGATGGTGAGGATGGCGACGCTCTCCCCTACGGGTGTTCGTGCCGAAAATACCGTCGTAACTGGGGTGAAGTAACCTGTAGGCCACAGAAACTCCTTGGCGAATGACGTCCAAATGTCGTGTGGGAAACGTAGATTGGTACGTGTTGCAGCAGGCCTTTTTGAGTAGGGTTGGGAGGGCGGGTAAGTCCTTGTGAACGGGGAGAGGGTACGAGTGCGAGAGTAACCGGACGGCACCAGGTAGAATCGCCGTCTTATTCTTGAGGGCACAAAGCACGCCGCCTCTACCGTTCTACACATTGGTCCCGAACCTCTTATTGCTCGACGAAACGAGGTTTGCAGACAGATGGAAGCCCACTACCGTATCATCCATCCACTAATGCTTGTTCGTTTCCGACGTTCCCAGATGAACACGGCGACGGAGCGCCTGAGGATGTTCGAGAACGCAGCGATGCACACAGACTTGCTGCTGACGGCTAAGCAGGCCGAGATGATGGCTTCGCTCGTCGAACGGGACCAGGTGAGAGACTGGCAAATACTAATACTTGGCTAACGTTTTTGCCGAGCATCACGATCGGCGTACTGAAGTAAGGGGTAGAACATCGCACCCTGCTACATTGTGGTCTGAGTGTGTTTGGATCCTCCAAGTATGCTGGTGAACGCTTATTTTGAAAACTACTCTTCTAAGATCACTGCAGCACGAGGAATTCCTATTTTTCGTTTGCCGCGGAGGCATGCCAACAACAGGGTAATCTATCCGAGAGTCTGGGCAATACCCGACAGAAAACACATCTTTGTGGCGTATATCGAGTTTTTGGCAAGGAGGAAGGAAGGTTCGCATGCTGGGGGCGACCTGCCATCTGTTTCGCGCGCTTGCAGTTAATGCGTTCGTCTGAGTGCGAACCGAGGGCATCCAGAAGGACTTTGGTGTCTTGCTTCAGTCAGCAACGAGGGCATGTTGAGCCTGCTGTAGTTGACGTTCGTGAAGTTGCCCATACCCGGCATTGTGGTCCCTCTGTACGTGTTGCTCCCCGATTATTAGGTTGGTGGTTTTATTAGCGCGAATTCACTTCATCCTTCCAGGAAGCCATTTTCCCCCTCTTCGTCTGGATGTCCGTCCGGCACGTATTATTTCTATTTCCACCGACAACGCAAGGATCGTGTGTTGACGGCGGAGAAACTGCTGCCCCAGGTGGTCCACTCGGACGAACGATTCCAGGTGAAAGTGACGCCGGTGATTACAATGCCACAGGGTGGACCTCGCGGACAGTCCTGGAGTCAGTCCACCTGGATGAAAATGTTCGGCAGACCTGTTGTGCGTTGTTGCTGCCGATGCGGCTTTAGCACCCTCGTTTGCGAGACTTTGCGTCTAGAACGCATATTCGTCGGCTTCAATCATGACTTGCTCGAGGGTCAAACGCCTCGACCTCTTTGGATGTGCGACCCTTTCAAATAAGTAACATCTACCCCACCCACTTCTGGCACCTAATCTCTCAACTCGACCCATTGTGTCAACGAACCCGACCCAACCTCAATATTTCGTTGCCCCTGACGTTGGCTTGTTCGTTTTTCTCGCAACCAATATTCGTTCATCTTGCCCGCGTTCCCAGTTCCTAGAATCGTTCCTCAACGCCAAGCAGAGGCTGAGACTAGCGCTACGCATGAAGGGCCTCTACCGCGCAATCATGGGAAATCCCAGCGGGTTCTACACGCTAGATTTAAGCTCGGCGCAGGGAAGGATGGCGGCCATCAAGGTCAGAACGTGGGCATGCTACCCGTGCCACGTTGTCCATCCCGGTATCTCCCCACCAGGAGAAGACGAATGAATACTCTGACGCGAGGAGAAGTCTCGCCTCTACGCATTTTCTCTAGATGGATGGGTCAAGGAAAACTTCCACTACATCCGAACACCCACCGTGCACTAGCCGCATTTAGCTCTCACCCCCCTATGTGTTTTGTCTTAGTCTCTTCTTCGACGTCGACTTCCCTGCCCGCCGTTGCTTTGACCAACCAAGGGGCGTATGTCCAAGGGACTTATCGCTGTGACACTAACAATGGAATATACAATTCCGTAGGTAGGGGAGTTTTGTGCACGCCGTACCGTACACGGCGACAGCTCGCCTAAGGTTGTATTCTTTTCCTTCCCCAACACTCCAATTCCCACCAAAGCTCGGGGAGATTGCGAATGCAGAGAGGTCCATATCCATCACGCGCGGAGCTTGCGACACGTCTCAGAAAGGAAACCGAATGGTGAGCGCACGTCCTCGACCGATCCCTGCCAAAACCAATACCGCTGGCCAGACACCCACATCGCCGCTTCTTAGTTGAGGACAACCGGCTGCGAGTAAGATATCGGCATCGGGTGGTTAGCTGCGTCACACTTTTAAATGGATCATGCGATGTTCGTAGATTATAGAGGGTCGATGTCAGCGCTTGCTTCTTCGTGTCGCCGGAGTTTCTCGCTCCACCCGAAAGCTTCACAAAGAAACTCGGAATAATTTGTTACCACACGCCTACACGCACGCCAATTTGTTTTTTTAATCACGCTGTGCATAATTAACGCGGACATTTTTCCGCGTCTGATACGCTTAGCTTGGGCGATGGCGCGAGGGTTGTGGCGGTCCATATTTTGTGTTCGTGGGTACTCGGAACTTGATGCACCAGAATTCACGAGGGGACAGAGAATATCGAACCAGTCTCGTGGATATATTTTACGCGAGATGCACCGAAGAGGGAGGTTGTTGTGTGACAGCGTGCATTGCATAGATGCTGTGACCTACGGGTGTTATGTTGGGTAACTACGCAACTTCGTAATCGTGTTGCACCCTTACGTGCAAACGTCGCCGTCAATGGGAGTCTTGTGCATGAATTTACAGCAATCTGGTCGCTGCGTTTCACTGTCCTTTCCCGCCGACCGTTTCTTTTCGATTTGCCACCGGTCCGAAACGTATTTTCGATTGGGATACCACTGCGTCTCGTTCACCATCTTCGCTGTGTGCTTGTCCATCACAATATGTACCACAAGATGTTCCGAAATGAGGTGATGGACACCGTACCCCAGAACCTTTCCGTGGATTGGTTCGTGAAGCTGCCGCGCAGAGGTACAATCAGGTAAGACTAAAACCTCGCAACTTTCTCCGTTCTAATCACTTCGGCAGGCTCATGTTCAAACTTGTGCGTATTTGCAAGAATCGAAATTGGCCGGTATCGCCCCTGTGGGGACAAAATCGGGGCATGCAAGCCCCTTTTAAAACACCGTGTGCTTTATTGCCGGGTTTCGTCAACCCCAGCTTGTATATGATGGGCTTTCGCATTCATTAGGCAAGATCATGCGGCACCCTTGGCCGACCTCTCAGTGGCATCAATGCAGTATGTGTGTACAGTTATCGAACGATACCTGGCAATGTCGAATATCGCTGATATCGGCCCAGTGAAACGTTCATCGTGACGTGTGTCTTGGCCTCCAACACGACTTATCAGTAGGCCTGGTTTCCTGTAACGAAGCAACGTTCTTGTGCCAGCGACAAAGTTAAGACCAACAAGGCGGCATGTTGTAAAGGCGAAAGGGCCAAGTGCCCAAAGGGATGACGAGTTGGCGTTATTGGCCAAAATTGAGTCGGAGACAACGCTGCAGCACGTTGTAACCTTTGCTGCTCAATGGTAGCGCCTCCGATTTGAACGGTCTTCATGTCTTTAGAGAAAGTCTCAGGTTGAGGGCTACTCCTATCGTCAGTGATGTGTCGATTCAGACCTGACTCCAATTCTGTTTGATCGTGCGATTTTTTCCGAAGCCGCAAGGGACGGTTTTCTTTGCTGGAAAGATCGTCCGAGACCGCATGCGGCAATCATGGCTTCCGTGAGGAGCCTGCCGTCCACTTCACGTTTTCGGCCATTGAACGGTCAACTCACGTGTGGGGTCCTGCCATCAATTTGCAGGAGCGTTTCACCTAGCCCGGCATCTTTCAGTATCGCCGTTCAGCCAAGAGCCAACCAAAATATTTGCGTATTTCAAAGGATATGAACCCCACATGAATCTGAGCTTACGCTCATGCAAGATCTGAGACACAAGGGTCGAGCTAGTACAGCGTCAGCGGTATCTTACCATCGAGTCTAACGCAAGAATCATCAACGTGAAAACACTTTTACCGCACCAACCCGTACGATCAGGATGGACGTGATATCCATGGCGAGACCGCGGCTTTCCGTGAAGCCTCTCAGCGACGCCCGCTTCGAGTCCCTCAAGGCATTGCTCGGAGTAAACGAGGAGATGCAGGAGGTTTGAAACGCGCGTTGTGCTTGATGCGGGGCACCTTTCCCCAAGAACCATTGCAATTTCGGTGTTGGACTTAGGATTCCGCCTGACAGTAAACCCATTTGAAGTATCACCCCGTGAGAACTGGCCCTCATCGCGTCACTTGTTTTCCCCACTTGAATATGCTGACCGTCTGTCGATATGTGGGTGTGGTGGTTTGGTAGATCGCACATCGTCCTGCCGTCGCACGACCCCGCCCTCCGCCTCGGGCCACTTCCGTCTGTTTCGTCGACGCTCAGATCAGAGAGACCTACGAAATCTTGGAGTACGAAAGGACGCACAACAAACTTGGTCTGAGGATATGGCAGCGCGCAACGGCGGTGAGTGATGCGGGGTTGGTTGGGGGGTTATCGCCAAGCATCCCTGCGGCCTTATTCTACTCCTGTATCTCATGGCCCTTCATCGTTTGTGATACATGTGTCAGCACAGCGCGAGTGGTGCATGCAGTCCAGGTGGTCGCGTCAGGCACATGGGGTCATTTTTCTGTCTCGAGGTGATCGTGCCGCCTTGCAAGCCTCGCTTTCCATCATCTGAAACCTTCGGCACAAGTTTGCCAGCAGCGACACCACGAAGGTCTCGACGCCGGCTATCCAATGAGAACGATGTATTTCCAAGAAACGGGCTGCATCACTTCAGTCCTTGCACTCTAATGTACTTACCATGGCATCCGCCGGTAGTCCTATCCGTAAGCGCCAAACGCTCCAAAATCACGGAGCATCTTTAGACCCAAGCATCATGCAAGAAACTTTCGTTTGCGTAACCTCTCCAGAGGGAGGCGTCAAACCTCCCGAAGACGGCATCCGTGGGAGGTACAGCTGTTTCATCAGGAGGAGCCTCGGATGCTGCCAAGCTTGTAATGAATGACGACGGCAGCGTGAGCAATACCAACGCTGATCCAACGAGTAAAACGGTCCCTCCCAAGATTGGCCCCGCCAGCAGCGGCGGCAGTGTCCGTGATGTCAAGCAAAATCGAGGCCATACAGGCCCCATGAACTCTGCAGAGCTGCCGTACCACTACGACGCGTATAGCATCTTCAAGGCGAAGGACCCCCACCTCAAGGAGACAGTCCCGACAGTTGAGGTGCGATGATCGAAAGCGGCAACGCGGGAGGTGGGGTGGACGTCTTCGCCACGAAGGGGTATGACCCTCTGCACCAATGTAGCATGGAATTGATGGCCGTGCCTGAAACATGTCAGCTACCAGCCTTGGAGTGGAGGGGGGGATACTACCCTGGCAACTATCTGAGGGTTAACAATGAATACCTGGTGTTCATTTAACGGTAGGAAACCCAGGAAAACCATCTGGAACAACGTCCTGCCTCGAGTCCGGTGCGGGCACACTTCTCACCACGTAGCCGTGGAGTACACCAAGCCGCCCAATCTCTAACGACCCGTCTGCATTGCCTCCCCCTCGCATTCCCCCAGCACACGATATCGTCTCCAGTCTCACCCGTTACCACCGTCAATGGCCTGATCTGTCTTCCCTTCTGTTTTCTGCTTGCCTCGCGCCTAGCAGATCCCCGATTGTATAATCAGTTCCCACGCGATCGAACAGTGGCAGCAGTTCCACGCGTCGAGCCACTTTTTTCTCGACTATGTCGAAATCGCGAAGCAGTCTCTAAACGCCCCCGGTGGTGGTGTTGGCGACGCCGGCGGCGGCAGCAGCGCCAACGTTTCGGCCACAACGGGGGAGGGAAGGGGAGGAGCGGAGACCGGCGGCCGGGCGCCGCCACTAGGGATTTCGTCCTCGTCTGCGGCGTTTGGTGCCACGGCCGGAGGGGGTCTAGGCGGGGGTGCTGGTGGGGCGCACGGAGGGGGAGACGTGAGTAGCGTATGGTGAAAACAAGACTGCCTTTTCGTCGCTTCCCAGTTTGTGCCAGCGCTCCCATTGGGACAACGTGTGTCTTCGGCTGCCAGTTGCGATCCAAAATGAAGCTACGTTGATCAATGCTGTCGAATGTCTCGTCCGTACCATGCCAAATGAGCAGAGGTTTCGTGGGCCTTTACAGGCACTAAGACGCGTTCCGATGAAGACAGAGGAAGCTTCATGGACGTGTCGACCCACCTCTGTTCTCATATCTCCCCCTTTCCGCCGCTATTAGGCTCTTCATGTAGTGCTCAAAAGTCGATAGTGAACCCCGGAATCTGATCGAGAAGTACTCATCCCCCCCCATGCCTGACGTCTGCACAGCGGAGCAACGCTGCCGGAGCAGGAACAGCTGCGGCAGGTGCCTCGACCGTCCCGACGCGGATTTACCGATGGGTGTTCCATCGCCTTCTCATGCTCCAGACCGTAGCATCCGCGGCGTGGTACACATGTCAGCAGGCGATGGAGATTGCTAGCGCGTTTCCGTGGCAGGTGAGGGCGAGTGTGGGTACGCTTGTGTGGTTTCAAGGCTGGAGACAAGCAATAGAAACCTCTGTAGAAACATGTTTAATGCTGTGTGATGACCGTTCTTCTCTCAAAGTAGCTTCCGGCTGTGTTTGGTCTGGACCGGGGATCAAAGAACAAAGAGCTATGGAATTATTTAAGGACGGCGGCTTCGGAGGAACGGCTCACACAGAGGTATGTAGCTTCTGCCGTGGGCTTGGTCCCCGAGCCTCGCTTCTGTAACCCCAACGTATTTCACTAGCTGGGCACCCCCCATCGATCAACACGCCAATGGTCAGTGCTGCACCAAGACGTGGCGGAGGTCATTGGCACCGTATATTTGACATGTAGCAAAGGATCACTAGCGGAACAACTCTTGTCCTTGCTGCCCCCAAAGGCCCTGTCTTTGTCCTGTTTTCTATGTGTTCCTTGCGCTACGTTCGGTGCGACTTCCTCCGCAGGACTTTGGGCGAGTTCAGGCCCTGATCATTGTGTTCAGCCGCATCGTGGATGTGGACAGATTCAGCGAGGTGGTTCTCAGCTGCGTGAGGAACGAGGAGAGGCGGGAACTGCAGCATCGTTTGGGCATCCTGAACGTCCTGAATCCCGTCAGGGTAAGCTGAGCTGACGTGGCTGGCCAAACCATGTCCTTGAGCATCAAGCTACGGAACCGTGCCATGGGGTATAAGTCACTCAATTTGAACTGGCACACGACTACTGTATCCGTTTTCAAAACTCAACCGGGACGATGGCCACCAAAACATGTGTGCTAGTGTGGGTTGTTTTCTGGGGCGATATTTGGCTGTGATCGGGTGGGAACCCACCGAAATAGCGGGAATTGGCATAAGGTGTAACCCGAAATACGACGACATTGCTTGGGGTCTAGAGAACCCTTGCCGCCATCAACGGCAACGTTGGTATCGTTGGGAATCCATCTGACACCTAGCACAACTCACCACGGTGTTTTGAACCAAGTTGTAGAGCTGTTGAAAAACGCGTACGAGCCCTACGAAAATCTCCCTTGAAACTGAAACATGAAGCACACAACAAGAATTCTGGGCCCCAGAAATCCAGGTGGTGACTGACGCTACAATCATCTCCTTGCCCCAGGACTTCACCGCAACGCGCTCCTGCGCTCTTAGGGGTGCCTATATAGATCCTCCTTGCACGTAGGTCGGGAATTTGGCTCGTCACATGTTCCCTAGCAACGAGCATGGTGTATTTTGCCCGCTTCTTTCTGATACGCACCATGTTTCGGCCCCCGCGGGGCTTCCGCGACATTCGGGCAACAAACGACCAGCCGGACGGGCCCTATTTGCTGGATCTCAAGTGCTGGGAGGAACGAGAGTGGGCAAAGGTCGGTACAGTGCGTCGAATGCCCAAATCTCAACTGTCTCTGCACCGGCGGCTGTTGGTATCGTCCTCTCTCGCTGTGTGTCCAATCCGAGTAGGGCTTCGATCAGGCTTGCCTCATTGGCAGCGCACGGAAATCACCCAACATGGTTTGGTACATCTTACTCCATTCGAGTTCGGTTCATTTTAATTAACTTCAAATTCACCAAAAACATGTAAAACCGATTGGTGAGGGCGTGAGGCAGCCACTGGTCTCTTTCTCGGTGCATGGAAAGGTTGTGTCGTAGTGCGACGCCATGGTTTTCCCCTTCGAGTAACCACCACAAAACCACCACCACCTCCCATTTTTTCGTGTTCTCCACGCTTGCCACCATCATTTTGGGCTCATGAAACCCTAGGGGGGAGTTCGGGGTGGCTGGCGAGAGGAAAAACGCTCGGTTGAGGTTCTATCTACTTTAGCTCATGCCAACGCCAAACAACCTGAATGTGTGGGAGGGACCCCCTATATTTTGTTGTGATGCCAACTGCCCCAAGATACGGTCACGTAGGAGACGTGCTTGACAAAGCGTGCACGACATTCTCGTCTGAATCAGTGCTCTTACATCAGCAATATTGCAAGTACGAAGCCTTCCCCGGCTGTACACGAGTTTGTTTCGTACACTTCAACATGGACCGTTGGCAGATCCTCATCAAGCTCGCGGTCGAGGAACCAGGAGCAAACTGGGACCATGAGACGTACACCCATGCCCGGGGGACTCCCATCATCCAAGGATGGCTTCTCCCCGAGAGCTGGACCCGAGAGGACGAGGACATGGGGGGAGATGGGGGTCCCCGTAGATCTGGTATCCTCTGCCTGCGCTACATCACTGATGCGGTACGTGGGGCGAGATACCGAACTGCTTACTCGCTAGTTGGTAGGGAGAACAGCAATACGCTACGTGTTGTTTGCGGACACACAGGTGACGAACCCCAGACAACGGTCGAGATAAGGCATCCTGATGGTGTCCGCAAGAGAGCAAGGGCCCCCTTGTTTATTCGTGAGCGGCGAGCGTACATGTCCTGCCTCCGTGACAATAGGGCCCGTACTGTATTATGGCGTCTCGGTTCTAGGAATGAAAAAATGCTTTTACGTCCATCTTGAACCCGCCCTTCCGGTGCTTGATCCTTCTCACAACATGTCGACAACAGTCGCTGGGATGCATAGCAAAGTGGGAGGTCCGGCGGGCGCTTCGGTCGAGAACGCTTGGCGGAGTTAAACGAGTGCTATAATTTGAACGGGCCTAGGGTAGATTATTATTGAAAACTTTTCATATTAGTTTTTCCATGTGTGAGTTGGAAGCGCGGCGATATGGCGTTAGGACCACCTTTTCGTACCTACGAGAAAGCGGCTGGCGTAGCGTTTCATGTACTTGAAGATTATGGTTTCGTCTTAGGTCCCCCTGCGATACGTAGGAGTATTTGTTGTGTGCCTCTCAGACATACGCAAGATAGTTCTGAAGTAAAACACGGTACTATAGTTGAACGATGTACATGTGGTGTATTTATTGCTTTTTGCGTCATAATGAGTTGACGTACATATCAGCCGCGGTAACACAAGAGGATACCACGCTGTCACATTTCTTGTCCAACGCTATGCTTGTATGGTTGTCAAGGACAATCGAATAGACGAAGAATCTTACCTTGAGTGTGCTGAACACACAACATCTAGACGTAGCAAAACAACCGCTTCTCCGTGCGTGAGTGGCGGTAGTTTTTCCACAACAATTACTGTAGCCCCCACGCATGAATATATTACTAGCATTCGCCTACCATTCTCCCCGTCAATTATCACCCCCACACATGAAACTACTCGCTCCCGAGTCCAAATCAGCACTTCTTCGAAAAACTAGATAACCCTCCCCTGGAGTATTATTGTACATGTGGTGGGCATGGTTTCACCACGAGGCACGAAGCACAACGGCCGTGGTTCGTTTAAAGCAGGACAGTGGAGTTCAACGTGCGTTCAACTGCCACCGATTCTCGCCTTCTCATGCAAACTCTGCTCTCCCACAAGAGAATAATTTGCTTCGTCGTAGAGCGCGCCCCCATGAAGGACCCCTGGTATTTTGGAACATAAAGCATGCACAGCACTACCCACGTCTATCCGTGAAATAATACACAGTGTTGCGTGTAGTCGAGCTTTGGCTCAGGCTCCAAGGTTACGTCACTCCATCTTGCTGTTGGTCTCAATGCATGGCGACCGGCACCGTCAATACAATCACGAGGATAGAACCTTGATGTTAAAGCCATACCGATACGCTACTCCGGTCAGCCAACCCCATCTATTTTTGTACGGGCCACAGCCAACAATCATGGCCCACATGTTGATACTCTCACCGAACCAAGTTCGCCAATCTAGGGTAGTGAATCACGCCGTTCGTAACACAAGACTATCCGCGGTTGGTCTTGATGTGAAGACCGACTAGCTCGGTGGTCAAAAGAACCCACAGCAAGTCGTCGCTTCAACAAAAGTCCCAGCGCACCTCATCAGAATTGTGGTCGGGTGGAGTGCACCATGTATTTCCTGAACGGTAGTCTCAACATTTGCGAGGGGTGCTATTATTGTGGGTTGGTACCTCTAGGCGAGCAGTCAGTACGCACGGCTTTGCCACCTAACCATGCAGTCGAAATCGTCGAGCGACAGCTGCCCCTCGCCGGTTCCTTTCCCTCCGCTCCCATCAGCACGTCCACCTCCGGCGACCCCGCCGTACTCAGTAACGAGCAGGCGGGCCTCAGCCACAGATACTGGCAAGCCGAGGCCGTTCACCTGAGGGTGGTAGGCAAACGTTGCGAAAGAAGGAGGTAGCAATAACATATAAAAAGTTGTGGTAAAAAAATGATAACCGTCCACCCACACAACAATAAAATGAATACAACATTTACATTTACTAGGGAAAATGACAGCCAAAAGGTTCGACAAGCGTTGATTGGAAACATCTGACAAGAGTAGGGATGCAAGTCTTCATTCACAAGCACACCTACCCCACGTGGTGTTTGCAGCAGTGTTGATGGTACATTGCCCTCAACGTAACCTCAGCATGCCTAGCTCGTCGCGACTATTGCTGCCGAGAGATGTTTAGCTTTCTCGTGGGGTTGTAAAGTACTTACAATGCGTTGGCAACATTCGAAAGCGAGGCAGTTGATCGGATTTCCCGCCATGCTTTGGGCGTAGGAGCAGGTGGGCCCCATTAGCGCAATTCCAGCCCGTTCATGATGACTAAAGTGTAAATGTTCGGCAAGCTCGGCCCAACTTAACGTGGGTATTGCTCCACCCATGCCAAGTGGGGAACGGAGTTGGAGCAGTTGTCTGCAGAAATGGATGGATCTGGTGCTTTCATCTCACCGCTTTTAGGAGCTCTTCCTGGGAAATGTGACCGGAGGCGTCCACGTCCACGGCCCGGAACAGCTTCACGATCGCCCTCCTCTCTACCGTTTCCACCCCACCGCCATTGTGACCACCGCCACCAGAAACGTCCACTCCGCCATCCACACCATCGTCATCTGCATCGTCCCCACCACCGTGAGCGTCGGAAGCAGCAGCACGAGTAGCACCGGTACCACCTCCCAGGCCAACGCCCGTCACCTCTACTGCCTTTGGCATATCTGCGGCTGCACCCACTTTGTTTCTTGCACCCCCAGACTTGGCACCCCCAACTTCGGACCCCGTGACTGCCAGCGCCCGCACGATCGTGCCTTGATCTCGACCGCCCTGCTCCGCTACAGGACCACCAATCTTCGAGCCTGGATTACCCACCGCCCGCAAAAAACGCGATACTCTGGCCGGTCGTGGTTTCGGGAGCCGGTCACGCAGAAGAAAGAGACGAAATTAGGGGGTGTTTGCAAAGCGTCAAAGGCGGGAAAATGTCCCGTGTGCACCAAATCGTTAAGAACAAGCTCTCGCGAATTTAGGGGATAGGAAGGATGGTTGTTGTGTGCGGAGATGTTTGAGCACTATTTTCGGGTTCCCGCCGGAAAATCTAGCTTTCTAAAGTTAGATCCTGGACGTTTTTTTGCTCTCTACAGGTACAAGCATTCAGCACCTTTCTCTCCCACGTGCACAATCGGCATCCATCAAAACTCTGTGCGAGAATCTCGTCAGTGAAACCGAGCAACCAAGGGCCGATTACTGGTGTGTGTGTTTTTTTATCGTCGATGCGATGACGCTGACACACCTTTTGGCGACACGACCGACGTCTATCGGATCGATCCAAGCCAAGAGTGCGCGGTACGAGACCGGGGCATCGGCATTGGTGGGCCACCCCGCCGCCCTGGTTTCCTCGTTCTCCTCCTCGCGGCCCGCGGGGTTACTGGCCGCTTCGCCGCACCAATCTCTCCCCACCGGCAACCTGTTGGATTTGAAGTTGGAATCGAAGTGCCTGCAGAGAGATTCCATTTCGGCTTCGCTCAATGGCGGCTCTATTTGCACCCCAGGACCGCTAAGAACCTGAAAGGGGGGTAGGGTAGGCGGGTGGTCGGAGGAAGAACCAAATGATCACTACGTGGGAGTTCGATATCGTGAACCATGATTTTCCTTTTGGACCGGTGTTGCCGCCGGGGGGCGCCGATGTTACTCACGTTTCCCGTCTCTCTCTCCGTCCAATTTCAAGGGTAAACAGGAATAGGTAGCATTCTTCCACCCAGGCTGGTAACTGAATCAGTGGGACGACACGTGGTCGGCAAGACGCGGCCCAACAAGATACCACAAGCTGACGAGCTGCCTCTCGCCAAGACCAACGTCCGAGGGTTGCCAGGTTGCTCACCTCACGGAATGTGTGACAACGTACGCTGCCGGAACCCTCCGTATCACACTCTTCGAAACGCTCCCTTCCTAAGCTCGACACGTCAACAGGCCCCTCCCACGTCAAAGCGCTCCACGATTCCCGCTCCCCCGGCATCACTTCCTGATCTTCCGCTCCACCCTCACCGCCGCAACCGTTCGTACCCGCGGCTGACTCCGGGATCGGCCTCTGGACTCTATCTTCGTTGCAATCATGCCGACTGCTGGACTCGATTGCGGCACGCCTCAGTCGAAGCCACAGAGCAGCCATGTCGACGTTGCCTCTGGACAGTTCGGGGCTGGTGGGCGCGTCCGTTGCCGTGTTCTCGCCGCTACCGGGTAGGTCTAGGACATACGCCTGAAAAAACGAATGGGAGTCGCGGTTTTGTCGGCGGACGTGCGCATGTAATGTGCCTCATTGGGTGTCGTACCCTCCCGCGAATCCGTAGGCAGGAATTACGAACGTTCATGTTGCTGTGTCCGATTAATAACGCCAAACGTCGCGATTTTTATTCTTGTGAGGATAATAATATCAGTGCAACGCTCAGCGCTCTACCCGGGGGCTATTAATAGTAAAGAATATCCATTCTCACTATCGAATTGCCGGGACGAGCTTCTTTCCAGTTCGAATTAACAAATCGCATTCTCGGGACTGAAGACATTTCACCGCTAGCCGCACCTGAAACTCTTTAAGGTTCGCCGACTGCTTCCCGACCCGGTCCATGCCAGCGACGAGCGCAGCCATCACCCGCGATGGCGGCAACACAGGGCTTTCCGTTCGTTCAGCGCGTTTTCCCGTCGTGGGCGCGAGAGCTTTCTCTAGTTCTTCCACCGCAAGTTGCCCGTTTTGATCCTGGAATGTTTTGGGCACACGGCATCCTTGGAGATTTTCGTTTTGGTGCTGGGCGAACCAAACGCAAGATGTGTGTCATCACATGTGAACCATCACTCGTGAGCATTCTTCGAGATTTGCGAACGACGTTTGATAAGCTAGTGACACGTGAGAGTGACTCCCGTGAGAGCAAATGATTCAACGAATTCGCGGCCAAAGGCTCCATCTCAACGTTTCAAAAGCCGAACATACAAAGCATCCCGCAAACCTAATAGTTTTGACAAGGTAACGTATTGTTCTACAATTATGGCACCTCATCTAGTCTGTTGAACAACAGCGCTGCCTTTGCACAAAGATTGCCGCCGCCGCATCTTTCTGCGGCTCGTCGAAGGCGTCGCCGTAGTATCCGCGCGGCGGCGCGGACGGCTATCTCCTCTCGCTCATGCTGCGGAGCCCCCCTCGCCTCAGCGGAAGTCAAACCATGTTCTTCTTTCTCCAGAGATAGCGAGGCAGAAGAAGACGCGCTGCTGCAGCTGAAAAGGCTCCGGACGTCGAGCGGTCCCTCCGTGCCTCCGCTGGCGCCATCGCAGTCGAAGTCGTCGTCGCTGTAATCGTCCGCGTCGACACCATCGGAAGGGTTGGAGGAGTCTGCGGTACCGCCTTCATTTGCGGCTAGGGTCAACGGAGGGACGGGCCGGTTGACCCCCCCACCGACCCCGTTCCTGTCCACGGGTGCCCCTCCGTTATCAGATATCGAGATTGCAGGCGAGGGGGTTAGCTTCCGTGCACGTCCGACCAAGCCCCCGCCGCTCTCCCGTCTGCTTTGGGCTGAAGTGGCAAGGGGCCCTTCCTCTACTGAGCTCCAGGATTCGCCCACTAGATCGTCTACACTAGTGTGGTGTTCACTGCCAAGTAAGCCACCACCGAGCACGAAAGAGAAGTCACCGGAGCTACCGGTACCGCCGCCCGTGGGTGACGCGGCAGAGCACGACGTAGATATCCCGCTCCCACTGGCGCTGCCGTTCGACGTGAGCCCCAAGAGGTCGTTGATCTCGTCGAAAACCCTTCCTGCGTCGCCGCGAACGGCTTTCGTTCCAGAAGAGTTCGTGGCGTTTGAAGCGTGCTGCGCCTCAGCCGTGTCTCCCTGCACAGGGGTCGTTGTATCAACACGACGTAACACTTCGCCGTTCTTCATGTTCTGTACCGTTTGTGACAATCGCTCTTTTGTGTCATCACCCGCCTCTGCGTTGTAGCTAGCGGCACCATCGGTTGCGCGTTCGCCATACCTGCTGGCAAAAGAGGCGGTCTCGGGTCTGAGAAGCCGTATCCCGAACGTCACACGGCCGTTGCTGGTGTTCACGGGGCCGCGATCGCTCTTGAGATCGCATGTGACAGTCGGCAGCGGCGGCGGCGGAGGTACAGACCCTTCCGTGCCTGAAACAGCAGTCGCAGGCGCAGCTCGAGCGGCCGCTAGCGCCACGCCAAGAGCATCGCCTATCTCCTCGGGGGTTACGTTACCCTTGGCGATGACCCACCCAAGGTCGTCCCATATTTCAACCTTTTGACAGCACATGGAAAACAAGGGGGCATTATGAAGACAATGACGACGAGAGCACGTACACGCAACGAGGACTAGGGATTGAGATCCGCTACGTGCTCGGAGTGATTGGAGAGGCGCGCATGGTGAATCGGTTCCGCCTTGCAAAATGCATGCCTGCGTTTCGGTCGACGCCTCAGACCCGTGGTCCGGTCGTACTCACGGTCAGGCAGTAACCAACACAACTCTATGTGTATACGGCATCGTCGGCAACACCATTAGTCATTGATCAGCCGCCACAGTTGGTGCGTGTGGACAATGCTACGATACGAGTGGCCTCGAGAATCCGGCGTTTGAGAAAGAGCTTCTTGTCTCAGCGACATTCCTTCTCCGTTTGCCGGACCGGCTTACCTCCAAGCCCGAAGAACGAATATTCTCCTCCCTGAGACTTGTTACAAGGCATGTTTGCGACGGCCAGCGGCACTGCCCCCCCGGCCCTCCGGGAACATCGGCAACGGGCTTGCTCTTCCTGCCCTTCCGCTTGCCCACCCGCAGGAGCAAGCACGGGTCGGCGGTGTTACCCTCTGCTGCAAACTCCACTCCCTTAAGTACAACAAGCGACGAAAGCCAACTCGAGGTTATGGTCTGGAGCCTATTCGTGCCCGTGAAATATTTGTCGCCGAGTGCTTCCGTCCTGCCGGCATGACTACGTTGTAGGAGGCCTCCAAACCATGTACCAAACCTCGTGTTCGCTACGTATTGAACAACCACGCGGAAACTAAGCAGAGAAAAGAGCAATGGAAACTGCTGCGCGTTGTGCCCCTCCAACAATGAGCGGGGTCCTCGGCATGGAACAAAGCCAATGCCCCCATCAGAGAACCACATTGAGATTCGAGCCGCGTTCGAAGCAGACATTGCAAGCACAGATAAGTAAAGCCATATTGTGAGGGGGGGTCTCACCTCAGCGCAAGCGTCCTCTACAATCAAGTCGAACGCCTCCAGCGTTGGTGCAACTGTCGAGGTCGCAGTATCACCACCATGGGGCCTTGCAGTACTTCCTATTCCGCTCGCCGAACCCTCACTCGTGCTGTTCCTAACACCTTGTGCCTGCGACAAAACCCTATTAGTCGTCGCGTCAGGGTTCTCTAGCATCCGGCGGCCGGCTCCAGCGATACCGCCCTCAGACCAACCATCGCTGGCACCAAGCTCTCCGGCTCCTCCTTTCATTTCTCCCCCGTCCGATGATGAAAGCTCGGCTCCATTGCCATGTCGCTTGTCTTGTACCCTTTCTGTCGAGGCGACGACTCTTGTTAACGCTCCATTTTCACCCGAGGAAGCACGGGTCTCTTCGCCTTCGTTAGGCTCCTGGGTGTCCGGCTCCTGTGCCACGTGCCCAGTCGCCGATGCATGACTCTCCCCGTTACCTAAGCGGTTGTTGCCACCGCTTGCGTTGCTCGGGTGGTCAGTCCCGCTCATGCTTGAGCAGCGTGGTACGGGCGCTCGTTGTTGTTCTTGCTGTTGTGGTACTAGTGCACCCCATTGTTGAAGGGTTTGGACGATTTTTCTAGCAACGCGTTCGGGGTGCGGCCACTTCCCCGAAGCCAGCTTCGACGAAACTGTCGCCGATCGGATGTGACCCGCACCGGCGATCACGTCCGGGGATGTCTGGCGGACTTGGCCGCTCCGAGGTACCGCTGACACAGCGTGCGGTGCTTGTCTCGAGAGCAGACATGCCGTAACCTTGTGGCACGGAGAGATCGAAAGAAACGAGCGATAAGCGGTACGTCAACGGAGGAATGCCGCAGAGGAAGAATTCCAGGTGATGGCGAGGCTGCTTTGTCGCTCGCTTCAGTCGAAGATTACAACCTCGCTGTGAACACCTAAACATTCTCGGCATCGCCGCCGCGCAATATCTGCGGTGTCTGGTTGGCCGGTGGCCTAATGTCCTAGCATGTCGACTGGTAGCACAGATAACAATCCACACACAATGCTGCACAGAGTATTCGGCACTTTTTTCCCATCAAATGCACCCAACGTCGTTCGGACCGATGTTGCATGCAACAGGCGCGAAAAAGTGCACAACAGAACCTACCGCAAGCAGCACACAAGAACTTCCCTAATGACGTGGTATTCCCGGCATTTCCTGTGGACACACCGCGCAGTACTCGGACACTAGTCTGTCATTTCGCCGCACCTGAACCTCGAAAGCTCCGACTCGCCCAACCCCACCGCTCGCGGACGCCTCCGTCGTAGGCTTAGTAACCACGGACGTCGTTTGTGATAATCGCATGGATTGCGCCCCTGCACCCGGACCACGACCTTGTCCCCCCGCGGTTGGGTGTCGGCCAGCGCCAATCAGGGCCTGCTCCGCGGAGGTCTTCATGGCTGCGGCCCGTCGGCTTTCGTTCGATGGAGCACAACACGATGCTATGGTTGGGATAGAAAAGGCAAGACTTCTAGCTTTGGGTGTGGAACGTGCGGCAGGCTGCGGCATCATGGGAGTACAGTCGGCGATTGACGGCGATAAACTCCGCTAATTCGGGCCGTACAGTACTGCCGTATTAGCGCATAAGAATGTACACGTGTGGAAAAGAGGAGCTCACATGTAGGCGTCGGCGTTGTGATGAAGAGACATGCGGTGCCGTGAGCATGCCGCACAGTGCTCTACGGTGACCAAGACATCTCCAGCGACCATGTGCTTCTCTTCGGACCAACGAAGGGGCGGCGGCATCCCTTGGATACATCGGCGTTGGACCTCAAATGGCGAACGGTGTAACGCATAGCAATCAGTAGGTATGTGTTTCCCCGCGCCTTTCTTTATTGTTCCGAGCTCCTGTAGCGCACATGTAACCAAGTCTGAGTTCCGTGTGTGCTTTCACCCTAGTTTCGTGCCTCACGACATAAAGTCTCCGCAACAGATACGCGTGGTCGTGTGTGTCTGTCCCATGTATCCTGGTATCAGTCTACAGGTAATTAATGGGCACTTGTCTTCTACGTTTGAATCGCCACAGGACCCTTTGAATCATGATGAAAGGAGAAAAAAGGTCGAAAATATGCGAAACTTTATCCTGTTTTTCTGCTGCATATAACGCAAATGAGAAGGTCTTGAGCAATGAGCAGGCGGTGACACGGAATTGGAAGTAGGGGTCCACACCACAAGGTGATTCTCCGCCCTCTAAGAATCAGGGTAATGCCTGGATGAGGAACGGTTTCCGCGACGCAAACACCAACCAACCCCGAAACCGCGTTGGACGGAGTGCTCTGGAATCTCTCACCACGGTAACTGGCCGAACCCCGGTCTCGGGCTCTCGGACATCGGGCAGGCCGTCCAGCGGTTCTTTCCCTTCCATCAACCGAGTCCTTTGTATCTGCAACGAAAAGGCGGGATCGGTCGTCGGAGCGGTGACCCTTGAGGTGAGGAAGGTGATCAACAACAGCAAAGTAAAGCCAATGCGACACTCTCTAATATTTTCACCCACGCCAACGCAGCAACCAGAGAAATCACAGGCTAGGCGGACCGCATGCATCACTCTTTCTGGACGAAGACCTGCTCAGCAACGATGTCAGGGGCGTCACCTGTTCATGAAATCGTGTAACCCCTCGCCTGACCGAAGGCGTCGGGTAGTCGAGAGGAGCGGTGCGTGATGGCTCCCATTCAATCGGTTCCGGCTTCATGAGCACATCATGCACTCTGCTGTCTGCCTGAGACATCCAGTGTTCTTCCGAGAAACGTGGTGATTCCTGCAAATTGTTCGATGTAAGTTGATACCCGAAAGCGTCAGCGTTGTGCATGTTACCCTCTGCATGGCGTTTCAAGGCCGCGAAAAACGGAATGCCTTAACAGAAGAAAAGGATTTGAAGCGCCGATGAAAGCCGTGGCGGTGTAAGGCCATGGCTGTGTTGTTATCCTATTGGACCCACAAGAACAATTTGTTTCCCTCGGTAATGCACCAGTTACCACAGTACATCTCGTGGCGTGCCGGCTATCTTGCGTCCCAGAGGATATATCAGCGTGTATTGTTATCGCTGCTGGTATGGAAATTTCGACGATGCACAATTGAGAGAGAGGCCTGTTTACCTCAGACAAACGGATCTCGTATGACCCTTTTCGGCGACCTGGTTGCACTCTCCTTCCCGTCAGCAAGTCCCAAGCAGTGCTTCGCGGAATTCGACGACGGCGACTGCGACAGCGCGCATCAAGCTCCTTGGAAGTTCTACCTTCTTTAGCAACCTCACGGAAGCTGCTGTTCCCGCCGTGTCTTGTACGCCTTTCCTCCTGTCGCTGGCTCGTGTGGCGACTTCCTCTGCTGTCTGCGTCGTCCATACCGTTCGTGCGGCCACCACCGCTGACGACACCCTCGCCTAACTCGAGCGAAGATTCTCCTTTTCTTGACAGCGTCTCGCGTGCACGGTCGCCATCATCATCACCGTGGAGGGTGTTTTCATCTGCGTTCTTCACCGATATAGGTTCGTCCACATCGCTGCTGCTGGGAGAAGAATCGTGTTCCCGCCAGTCCGGACCAACAGGAATGAGCAACCCGTGCCGGGGAGATGTCCCACGTGTCTGTTCCGAGCCTGATCGTAACTCTTCAAGACTTGTCGAACACTCGTGATTCTCACCGCTCAGCGCCGTCGAGCACGAAGAAGATTGGCCGTACCGGTCGATGTCGGGACATGAAGCTGCCCCTCTCCATGAGGTGTTGCTCCTCGAGATTGTCCGTCGTGCATGCGGTGTTTCAATTCCAGCTGACGCTGCCCTTGCCCGTACTCGTGAACCCAATAGACCCGAGGAGAGTCTACTCGAAGATGGCTTCGATGATCTCAGGGCGTGGCGCCCATGTTGCGGGCTCTCGAGATAGCGCCTTAAGGGCGGTGCGAAGGCAACGTTGGAAACTCCGAGATATTCCGTTCCAAAATGCCCACACAACACATAGTGCTGATTCATGTGCTGCTCCTGTTGGTGGTTCTTCTTCGGTAGAGGGACATGTCGGGCACTCTCAACGTCTGAGGCACGCCTGGCACTCGCAGGGCGTCTGCTGTTTCGACTTGCTGCCGTGGTTGTTGCCCTACCGTTGTTCTGGTAACAATACCTATTTCGACGAGTTTCCATAGGGTGCATAGGAGGGCTGGTCTTTCTTCTCTTCCGCGATTTGTTGTGGCACTCCGGGATTCTGGGCGCCGCAGCCGTCGTATCTTCCACCAGAAGCCGCCGCTTCCGTGATGCCGTAATAACGTATCGTGATGCTTCTGCGAAGCTAGCGCTTGGATCTCTCTCAATCAACATCATTGGTGGCACGTCGTCCTTGATCGCGGTGACCCCATCGCGAGTTTGTGATTGTTCTGGCTAGCTACGTCGGAGAGCGCTTAGTTACGCAGACCAACGGATGCGGTGAAATGGAGTACAGCAAGGGGCGATCGTGTTGCCGAAACGGTACAGCGGCAAAACTACATTCTTGAAGGAAAACCTGCTCAATTACCGTCAATTACAGAAGCACGAGCTAGACTCCGGTACTCCTTTGTCACGGAATTACCCCCCTGATGTTCCACGTAAGAATAGCATCCGCACCATGTTGCCTGAAGTAGATACATGGCAGCGAGACCTTCCTACACTGCATGCCGGCATGGCAATTGGAAAACAAGGTCAGAGTTCAGAACCTCAGAACGCCGTTTGAACCTTGTGCGGTGTGGAAACCCTGTGCCCAAGCCCAAGCCCACCTCATTTGAAGTCTACAAAGGCTAAGCCCTGCTTGCGTCGCGCGGCCGTCATCGCTCGGCCTATGAGGGCGACTGTGGCGACCCTGTTGGTGGCGAGCTATCGGGTTGGATACTCATTGAAGTTAGGGAGAGCGCCATTGCCATGGGTAACTGGTGTATCACGAGACGGTCGGTGTGCCTGTAGCCGACAGGTGAGACCAGAGTCGGTGCGGTGTGAGAGACAGCGACGCGCAAGAGTTGAAGCAGCAGGCAGAATGGGCACCAGTAGTGTGAGGCCTGCAGGTTGAGAAACTGATCGGGGTCTTGCTGCTGCCGCTGAGCCTGCGGGTGTACCCTGCTCATAGACCAGTCTATGCCATCTCCCTGACACTCAGGCATGCACATGTTATGGCAGTGCTCTCACAACAAACATGACCGCCGGCTCGAGTACCAATACCATGATCTACTGTACCCTCAGCCATCTAGGCAGAGGAATCGGACAAGCTGAGAGCCTGTTGCCTTGTTCCCACACGCGTGCTCTTCTATAGATGTCGTGATATTGTGTATCATGCGTTGGCGCTACACTACTGCTGTCGGGCAACAACGCAAGAATGCGGAACGTCCAAACCCTTCCTACGAAAGAAATGCTTGAACTCTGAAGCACCTACTCGGTGCTACAGCAACGCTGCTCTTTGTTACACCTGGCCGTGCGAGGTACTAATACCATTCCGGCCCACATGAATGCACCGCTCCTTCCTAAAAAAAACAATGCAAGACAGAAAGAGCGCCAGTGATTGTTTTACTAAAGTATTATCCTACGTGCATATGACTCCCCTGGACACCTCTTTCTAATGACCAATAACCAGAATCGGGTAACCCGGGTACTTTATCACCACTTTAGGGTACCCTTAGAAATCAACACGCTTACAACCCCAGGCTGTCAGCTGATTGACCGAAAAACCATCGTACCCATTTCTGAAGAAACCTCCATCGGGTACAACTTCCGCTGGCATTAGGACCCTCTGGTGTGACCGATATTGGTTACTGGTGTACCCGGAAGAGGTCGATTGTGTACCCAGAAATGGTCATATTATCCCGGCGCCTGACGCTCTAGCTCAAAACCCGCAGAAAAAACCGTGTACAACACATACATACCCACAACCAAACCACCAACAACGCTCGCTCGTTGACGGGCACCGCCTCCATAGGATACCGGCCCCTCTCGACGGAGGGTCGGACTCGCTTGACGCGCGAGTTCGTTCGGTGTGGTGCTGATCAGTAAAAGCACAGAGAGAGAGAAAGGCACAGAGAGAGAGAAAAACGGGTACGACCTGTCTCGTGCATCATGCTTCCGAGGCGCAGGACACAGACAGCGGTTTATTAGTTTCGCCGCGATCTACGGCGGATGCTGTCGGAGATTGGTGTCGTGTTGATTTCCAAGTGTACCCTGAAATGGTGATAGTCCACCCGGGTATACCCGTTTCTGGCTACGTCTCCTTTCGATTTGGCCCCGTGGTATTTCACGGAGCCGCGGTACAGTAACAGCAACAGCAGCCGCAGGAAGTTGTATCGATCCGAAACGTGTGCCGCCGATGGCCCACCCTCCTGCTATTCCTCTTGATCCCACTCACACCTTTCTCGCCTTGCGCCTACATAATTTTCTTCATGATGGCGAAATGCACGGTATATTTCACGCAGCAGCAGGTCGCCTGGCGTTCTCCCAGCAAGTTGCTCCGGCGGTCGGAGGCCAGGGGAACAGCAACATCGCCTTCTCGACTGTCCGCCGCGTCGGAAGACGCAGACATTACGACTGGCGGACGTTTCACGGTGAAGGTGGGTGAGGGTGGTGGGAGAAGGGGGGGGGGGTCATTCTTCGCGGGCTTACTCTTTCCTTGCTGGGTTGTCTAGCGGGAGGTAAGAGGTCCAAGGTGCTATTGCTGCGCGTGCGCCTTGCCATGATTCGGAGTCCCCACGCCAAAATGTGACTCGTGTACCCCACCCCAAAAGTTGCGTACCCCACTCCAAAAGTTTGTTCTTTGCTCTCGGACCCACAACGCCAACACAAATGCAGCAAGCTATCTACACACGGGACACGGCGCGACGTCCAAAGTATAGCCTGGTTGCTTACAACCCAACAACCGAATCCTTCGGACCGTGTGGTTTGTAACCCCCTCGCTGTTTCAGGAGGAAGAAAAAGGCCTGCGAGCCCACAGGGACGTGCCGGGGGGCTCGATAGAGGGCGACAGCGCCCAGGACGCAGATACCCCGGAGCCACTCGAGATTTCGGATTTCTTGCAAGCGGACGTTGCCTTCGACCAGGAGGAGGAGGAGGTGGTGGTGGAGGAGGAGGAGGAAGAGAATTGGCATACCGCAGACGCCAGCGGGTTTGTCGAGGACGAGGTTAGTTCCGATGTCGATGGTTACGGAAGTGCGGATCCCGCTGCTGCTGCTGCTGCTGCTGCTGCCATCGCGGCTGTTGATGACGATGGTAGTGGTGACGGAGAAAGTGACGGTGGCGATCGGCCTGTGGAGAAGGTGGTGAGGGAGAGTGGTCCGGGGGGTGCGGCGAAGGGTAAGGGTGGCGGAGGCGGCGACGGTGTTGGAAGCTTGGAGGGACTTTCGGCAGACGAGGTATTTGGGGAGGGTGTTGCTGCTGCTGCTATTTGTGGTTGATTTTGATTGTTTCGACGATGTCAGGATAGTTCTCTTGGTCGGCTGCACATTCTCCTGTCGCTTGTCGTAAGCCCCGATGTAAAACAGTCGTTTATTCCGACACGTGTACTGAAAACAAACAACAATGCACCGAACAACAAAGACAACTTGTTGGGAGTAAAACATTTTGCCAGGGTTGCAGCATGGTTCAAGTACCGATGACAAAAAAAAATTGCCCCGAGTTTTTCTTCGTGCTACTTTCAGGCGTGGCAGAAGAAACGAAAACTGTGACAAAAATGGCTCGACTGTAGTAGAAGGCCAAACCCTCTCTGTTGCTCCGTGCAGAGTCCTTGTTGTCACTTCTCGGCGTAGCTTTGTCTATGCAGCTGTCAATTGGGTCCGGACCCCGACCCCTCGTTAACGCGGACATTTTCCGTGCTCGCGGGAATACGTCGCCAAGAGACGGCTCCCATTGGGCGTTTATTCTTCATGTTTAGGCTTGCCTGCACCGACCAATAGCACGCACGGTACACGGCCATCACGGCCGGAAAATCCTTTGGTATAGGTATAGGTGTTAGCCAGGTCCATCTTGGGCTCCTCCTCAAACCACGCAGGATGCGGTCCCGTATCACGCTGCCTTTAAGCGTGTTCTTCGTCCGTTCTCAACATTTCCCCAAAACAAACCAAGGTAAGCTCCGCGGGAGGAGGAAAAGGCGCGGGCATTATAAAAACAATAATCTCCCGCGTATCACCGGAAGGTGTGTGAGCTGGCGCCAGAACAGATTGGACGAACACACACACAAAGACAAGCACCTCGTACTAGCGTATTTTTCCTTGAGTCTGTCCGCTTGTGTCTGTCCGACATGCACCGCCCCACGGTCTCAGGTAGAGCAGAGGCTGATCGCTGCCGGAATCTTGCGAGGAGACGGCGCCGAAATCGACTTCGAGGAGGACGACGGCGGTGGGGCCGGGGTGTACAACGAGATCGAGGTTTCCGATGGCGAGGAGGCGTGTCAGATCTTGGAGGAACGGCTTGGCTTCGACGAGGTTCGTGTGTGCGTGTCGAAGTAAATGTCACCCATGTCAAGTGTTGGATCAGTACGGACATATGAAGGTACTGGGCAGAGAGAGATCGGAACGGTTTTAAATGTGAAGACAACAACAACAACATGTTTTGTCTTTGTTTTCAAGAGACTTTCCATTGCGCGGAGGCGTGCTCAAAAATCGTGGGGAGTCCGCTTTTGGCCCCTGTGCGAGTGAGTGTTTCATTGTTGCTGTGAGGTTCTATAATAGACAAGTCCGCTGGTCTCCTCCTAGCACTCGGAGTGCCGCAGTTTAAGGGTAGTAGAGTTGACCGTAGCTTAAATGTACGAGTGAGACCGCAGGCACCCTCTTTCTCAAAGAAGCTCGCAACTGCACCTCACCCCCCAACCATCCCAACTGTAATTTCATCTGAAAGGGGGCATCGCTTACAATAGCTTTGGGCAGAGTATCCCCCCAACAATCCCTTCATCGACCATGTCAAGGTTAGGTCAACGATCTTACCGAAAGCGCTACATTGCCGTTGGCTGCATAAGATACCACACCCCCGGAATCAATTTTCAAGGCCCAATCGCTCCACAACGAGGAAGAGGTCAACGTCAAAATATAAGTTCTTGGAAAGCTCTCGGCGTGAAGGTCCGAGCACCACCTCTTTCAGCACAGTCAGCCTTTGTGCTGCACAGAAATCGAGATTTGAAAATTGGTCCAGGGGGTGTGCTATCTCACGCAACCCACGGTATTCGTATGTACGAACAGACAACGATTGACCCCCTCCGTCCTATCGGGGACGCGTAGTCAACGGTCTAACAACTACGGCATGCGTTTACACGAGTACACCCTCCCCGTGCGCACGCGTAACCCCCTCTCCACCACCCCACAGGAGGGTATCGCCCACCTTCGGTCCAAGTACCCCCCCCTCCGAGGAGAGTTGTGGTACCGGCGCGAGCCTGCGTCCGGGGGCTCCAAGACCGGAAAGAAATTTCTAGACGTTTACTTCGTGGAGGAGACGCTGCCGGACCTGCTGGACCTGCTTCTCGGGGAGGAAGGGGAGGGGGGGGGCGTCGGGCTCGACCGCAAGCAGGCACGGGGCCCCGCAGATAGCTCGAATTTGGAACAGTCTTTGGGGGATGTTGGTGCTGATGTTGGTGCTCGCTCGGGGGGCGCGACGTCGCGTTAGTGTTTTTTTTTGTTTTTTTTGGCTGCGCCAAGGGAATTTTTTTCGAAGCGCGGGGCTGTAGCGGCTAGCCTCCCTTTCGCCGTGTACACCCACCCAGTGTGTCCTGACCAATATGCTGACAATTGCGCTTTGGCTCCTTTCGCAGATTACGATGCTGCAGGCACCAGCAACAAACACCCGGGACGTTGTGTTTGTTTATGTTGGCGGACGTACCCTTTCGTCCACTTGTTTATTTAGCGTGTGGCACGAAAACGATCGACTTTTGTCGGGTACACAGAAATTCTGTCAACGGTGTATCTGCTGCCGTAGTCGGAGAATTTTGGCTTCCTTTTTTTCGGACCCGTCGTCTGGGCGTGTCGTCGGTCCGTTGTGACATTTTTTCCGTTACTTTTTGTTGTTATTTTTTTTGTTCCCCGCTAGGTGCGTGAGATGCTAACGACGACACCGTCTCTGGTCGGAATGGACGTCTCTGACGCCAAGGACGTTGCTGGTTACCTCCGGTCTGAGCTTGGGTTAAGCGGGAAGGGTCAGCTGGCATCCGCGCTTGCAGGCTGTCCGCCCATGCTCATGTACCACACCTGGGACAACCTGCGGATGAAGGTGCGGTGTGCACACGCGGAAGGGGGCGACTCTAGGATAGGGGGTGGGACTGACTGTTTTAGTTTAGACGCTGCCGTAGTGCCCGAACCGCCCCTCTGCCTCGTGGTTGATCGGGATGGTGATGATGATATGGCAGTATGATAACAATGACGATGGTGATGATGATCAGGTGTCGTACTACCGCGAATCGCTAGCGTGGACAAACGAAGACGTGGCCGCGATGCTGGCGGAGTACCCCAACCTCCTGTCCATAAAGATGGAGAACGACGTCATAGAGGTCATCGACTATCTCAGGTAAACAGCGACTCCAGTGCAGAACAACCAGCCCTCTAAGATGGGATCACTTTTGTCTTTTGTCTTTTGGGTGCGATGCTATGCTGATTTTGACTTTGTTGGATGCTTCATGGACGTACTCTCCTCCTTTTGATTGTCTTAAATAACGCAAAGGAAAACATCATTTCGTCCCGGTACTGCCGTGATCCTCTCCCCACCCGCGCGATCTACCGTACCCCCTTTCGTCGGCACCCCCCCTTGACGCATGTGGAAGGCAGTCCAATATTTTCGACACTGTACGCTTAGAAGAAATACAGACGTTCATCAAGGCACCAACATCCTGATCATCCTTCGCATCCCCCCCCCCCCCCCTCTCTGTTAATGGTCCAAGGATTACGGCATGCACGACTATGAGTACCCCCCCCCCCCCTCTCTGTTGTGGTGGTTGTCCAATATTAGCCCGGACTCGAATCCCCTCACACGCCTTTTTTTCACACGTCCTTTCTTCCGCACCCCCACCTGATGCCGCCCCCCCCGGTGTTTGCCATCGGGGTTTGGGTTTTCGTCGCTTGGCAACGACGTTGTAAAACAAGCCCCCCCACTCGGTGTTTGCCATCGGGATTGGGTTTTCGTCGCTTGGCAACGACGTTGTAAAACAAGCCAATTCACTTCGTGAACTCGGCAACCAGGTTACCGTTTTTTTTTTTTTACCTCGTTTTTTTTTTTTGCGGTAACCATAATGGTGGTCGAGTAGATCATGTTGTGCGGGGTCGAGAACCCTCACTCCGCGCAACGGGGGATGATCGCACCACGTTGTGTTAAAATGGTCAAGCTTCCTCGAGGCAGTTACACAGTGCTTATAACTGTCTCTGGAAGTGAAAGCACCAGAAAATAAATTAAGTCATACGTAGCTGTCATCCGTACGCAAGGAAGTAAGCACAAGATGCCGAACACCCTTAGCAGGATGCAGCTCACCCTTCATGCGACTCGCCGAATACCTCACGGCGCTTCGCGCTTGGTGATGTGAGAGCCTGGTCCGGTGAGAACCCGGCGTGCTCCGTCCCGGCTTTGTAGGGATGCGAGGTCAATGGTCAAACGACTACGGCATGCACGACTATGAGTACCCCCCCCCCCCCCCTCTCTGTTGTGGTGGTTGTCCAATATTAGCCCGGACTCGAATCCCCTCACACGCCTTTTTTTCACACGTCCTTTCTTCCGCACCCCCACCTGATGCCCCCGTTTTACCGCCCGACGTCGTCGTCTCCTCTAAGGACGGAGGTCGGCCTCCAGCCCTTGACGGTTAGCGGCATGGTCAGGGAGTTCCCCCAGGTTCTCGAAGTACGACCGAAGCGCCTGAAGGCGGTCGTCAGGTACTTCTGGAAGGTGTGTGTGTGTGTGTGTGTGTGTGTATGTGTGGAGCGGCGCGCGGGGGGGGGGTGAAGGGACCAGGATTGCTTGCATACGGGTGGGGTCTGATACTTTGAACTTATTTTCGTCTGGTAGAGCGAGAAAACAGGGGGTGGTGTTGCATCTTCAAGCGCTTTCGTCAAAGAGAATACAGAAAAGGGGGACGGAGTTGCAACTTCAAGCTTTTGGGTCGAAGGAAATGTTGGGGAACTGTGTCAACTTTTAGCCCTTGCGTCGGTGAGAACAAGAAACAGGAGACCGTTGCATGTTGAACCTCTTTCGTGGCGGAAAACTAAAACCATCAGGTGTACCAGAACTGCGTGAGTTGGCGGAGCGAACCCCTTCACTCTGGCCGCCCCACTGCTGTTCCCGGCCCTCATCTTCAACCCCTCCGGATTGGCAAGTCTTTGCTTGCTGAGCATGCGAATGGCCGAAAATATCAGGCAATTTGATGATCACCCAACACCCCCCGATGTAAACTGTTCAGCATGCGGACCGATCCCCCCCCCCTCCCCCCGCTCTGGAATACTTTCGAAAGGTGTTGGAGATCCCTAGGAGCGGGATCGCGGTTCTCCTGAGCCAGCATCCTCGAACTTGCTGCCTCGAGGCAGAGGCCAACCTCGCTCCGCTGAGGCAATTCTTCGAGAGGGAGCTGTTCGTTGAGGCAAGTACTGTAAATGGGCTAGTGGGAGAGAGCAGTCGAACCTACCGCTGTCGGGGGGCATCATTTAGGACGGGCATGTGCCAGGGATCGGTTCACCCGCCGCCCAACGGCGGGCACCCGCCCTATTCAGAATGCTTTTGACTTGACCATTCTTTCTGTGCCAATAGAGGTTCAACCGCGCCATGCCCGTGACTGGAACCCACAGAGGGGCCCCGACTGTAGTAGGCATGCGGGGGGTCTATCTCGCGATGGGTCGAAAGTATGACGGCAAGTGCTACCCTCGTTTCTCTGCCACGCCACTTTCCTGTCCCATGTCAGTGTCTCGGGTGCGCACCAAGCTGAGCCCGTTCCCATTCATCAACGGTGCATGTGCAGTCTGTGACTCCCTCCGACGGCTGTTGCGCTTTAAAGTCTCGGCGGAAGTGTTGCGAGGAAGGCTCGTGGGCACGTTCTAAACCTTCTTTCTACCACGAAGGCGTTATTCGGTTTCGTTTCCGGGAGAACTTATTTCCCGCAAAGGCCGGATGCGCGCATTGGTGTAGCACATACCAGCACCGTCCGTTGTGCAAGCTACAAACCTCGAGCAGCATGCCCTAAGTTCGTTCTGCGCGTCCCCGCTCGCCCCCCCGGTCAGTCAATGGTCTAACCTCTAAGGCATGTAAGTGCACCCCCGTATGCGGGCGCCCTCTCATGTCATGGTCTTGTTCTATCGTTCAGGACACTTCCCGAATAGGCCACCTAGTGTATAAATTCCCTCGGCTGCTGTTCCAGGACGTGGATACCCAGCTCGTGCCCAGGGCAGAGGAATTCAGAAAGGTGGGCGTGAGAGAGTCGACCACTGTACATTTGCAACACGGTTGGTGGGCAACTTTTCATGGGATGTACAACTAGGAGAAGCCCCGGTGTTTGATCGAGGTTGTGTTGTGGCATCAAATCGAGGTCGAGTAACAAAAGCTCTCTGCAGGCGATTCCCTCTGTTGGGCGGGTAGCCTTGTATCGGCCTGTATCGGGCGGATGAATCTCTTGGCACCGGTATCTAGAATGTTCTTTTGTTTTTTTTCGGTGAATACTGGGAGTGCCCGCAGAGTGCGAGCGAATCGGCCTGGCATGTACTTCTACCCGCCAAGCAAACGGAGCACACGACTGCTGCACTTGACGCTGCGATAAGAATACTGGCAAGGGTGAAATGGTGCCGCTCTCAACCGCTCCGCCACGTTCATGTGGTCCAGAAGACAAGGGTGTGGTATGCACACACTACATGGATAGGCGCGGACGTGCTTGTTGTTGGAGGGGGCAAACCGGCGAGTCGACGAGGCAGCTTTTCTACCGAAACTACCGCCCATACACACGTATCCAAGCAACGGAGGTCCCACCCCTCCGCCACGCAAGAGCGTTTGTGTCTCATGTTGCAGGATCCACCGACACTCTTCGTGCGATTCGCTGATAACCTCACGGAGCTTCGCACTCTGTTTTGCGCAGTGAACGCGGTCTCGCGCACGAACACCCCCGCGTTAACCGCGCCGACCAAAGGCAATGCCAGGGTTTGCAGTAGTGCAATAGAACCGTTTTCGCGAGTGAGGTTTTTATAAGACACCTTTAAGACACCGTCGCTCCCGGCTTTGAATGACGCACAGTAGTTACTAAGATTTATCTCCCCCCTATCAATTCGAAATCACGGGATGCCACGGGTAGTACCCCGTCTTCAATGCGGGGGGTTAATGTATACCCCGAGCGCCTTCAAAGCGGGGGGGGGCGGGGGGGGGGGGGATGTACCCCGCTCCTCCTCCCTGGGCGGGGCACTTTCTGCGTGTTTCATCAAGTTGCCGAAGTTTTGTTTACCCCCGAAAGCTGCTTTGTGGGTTCACAGGGAAAGGGGCTCGAGGGTCTGGAGCCCCTGCCACCGCCAGGACCCCTGAAAACTAAACGCAGCAACTTTCAGTCCCACAACCGTGGCGGAAGAAGGAGGGGTAGGGGTAGGGGTAGGGGTAAAGGGAGGGGCGGGGGGGGTGGCTTGGGGAAAACACCGGTTTCCCAA